CCAGCCACAGGTCAAACACCTTTGGCCCCAGAGGTGGGTGGAGCCGAAAACAAAGAGGCAGGAAAAACATTGGAACAAGTTGGCCAGGGCATTGTGGCTTCAGCAGCTGTGGTCACTACCGCCAGCTCCACCCCAACCACGGTGAGGATCTCAGACACTGGCCTTGCAGCAGGGACTGGGCCGGACAAACAGAAAGGCGGCCGGTTACAGGCCCCAGGAGAGGTGAGTTGTTTCAGGGGCAGATTTGCAAGATTTGGGTTCATTTTCTTACCCTACTTTAATGTTAACACATTAAATAGCATCTAAAATGCCCCAGGGAAGGAGCATTTCTGAGGTTTGCTTAAATTGTACTCTGAATAGTCCTTTACTGCTCGTTGGGCAAATGTGTATATTTTAATAACTTTATTAGCTCTTAAAAGTCACCCGAACAATTGCACTAATCAAAAACTGATTATAAAACCCAATTTAATGAGATGCTCAAATAGATCTGGTGGGGAATCTTTTTAATTCAATTATCTATTTAGTTCACATAGTTGTTGAGCCTCTACCAGGCCTATGAGAGGCAAGGTTAATGAATTATAGTGTTGGTAACAGTGAACACTATAATTAAGGCTATGTGAAAGTGACTATTACCATCCCCTGTTTTTAGTTCATCATTTTCTGTGATATTTTCCTTTGAGACTAGGCTTCTTTCCATGAGTTGATATGGCCATAAAAATTTCTTTTTTCTTTCTAACTTACTCTTTTTAATCCTTACCTGGAAAATTTGATGGAATTAATCACAGTAGTATCCAACTTACTATGTTCTTTTTCCGGTATACATGTTCCTTCCTGAAATGGAACTTCTGTTAAATACAAGTTAGCATCAAGTTGGCTACCCAATCAAATTTGAAACACTATCAAAATCATTTCTTACATGATGCTAGTCATTTTTTTTTTTTTTTTTTGAGACTGGCTGTTTCCTCAAGTTGGAATATGAAATACAAAGACAAAATACTAAATGATTTTTTAAATTACGTATAGGAAACTACTGTGTGCTAAGTACTGTATATTATAAACAAAGAATTGAAATCCCTGTTTGAAGGAGCTCACATCTTAAGATGGAATCATTTTAGGTATAACAGTGCCCAGTAAAACATGGCATATATTTCACCTGACTCCTTCCTCTCCTGAAAGATGCAGTTTGTGAATCCTTAGTGTTCAGGCATGGGGAGGGAGGTGAAAGGTCCAGGCAGAAGAGGAGAAGGCCTATAAAATGGAAATTTCACACTATTCATGGTTTGTCCTCTATTGACCAGCATTCCCAAGATAACTAGGTGAGGATCTTATGTGGATTTCCACTGTGTGTAAGTCATCATATTGCTCAAATTAATTAAACTCCAGTTCATGTCAAAGGCAATATAGATGTAAAGGGGGATTACAAAGTAGACCACATTTTATATGCTGCAGGAGGAGACACACTGAATGCTGTTATTCTTGGGGTAGCAAAGCTGAATAGAGGAAATTTAGAGTCAAAGGGCATTTTCCAAACAGGTTGGAGAAGTTTCTGTGACTGTATCAGTGATTTTGGTAATGTGTCAGCCTAAGTATTGTCCTGGGATCTGATTTAAAAGTACAGAAATGGAAATTTCCACTGTGAAGTCAAATCTAAAATAGGGACACAGCCCCCAGGAAACTTCTTGCCCTAAAAATTAAGTTGAAATCACTTTGTCATAACTTTCTTACAAGAAAAGGATTTAAAATTTAATCATTTGAGGGAAAGTGAAAGGCCATCCAAATTATTTTTCATTCATGTGTATTTATTTATTTATTTATTTATTTATTTATTTGACAGAGATCACAAGTAGGCAGAGAGGCAGGCAGAGAGAAAGAGGGGGGAAGCAGGCTCCCTGCTGAGCAGAGAGCCAGATGCGGGGCTCGATCCCGGCACCCTGGGATCAGGACCTGAGCCAAAGGCAGAGGCTTTAACCCACTGAGCCACCCAGGTGCCCCAGTGCATTTTTTTTTTAAGATTTTATTTATTTGAGAGAGGAAGAGTGAACGAGAGAGCACAAGTAGGGGGATTAGCAAAGGGAGAGAGAGAAACAGGGTCTCCCCACTGAGCAGGGAGGCCAAAGTAGGACTCGATCCCAGGACCCTGGAATCATGACCTGAGCCAAAGGCAGATGCCTAACTGACTGAGCCACCCTGGTGCCCCAACACTTTAGTGCTTTTAAAAGTTTTTTTTTTTTTAATGTCATGCAGCACTTCTTTTTAATTTTTATTTTTTAGATTAATTTATTTCAGAGAAAGAGTACCTGAGTGTGGGGAGGGGCAGAGGGGAAGCAGATTCTTTGCTGAGTACGGAGCCCAGTGTGAGGTTTGATCCCAGGACCCTGGGATCATGACCTGAGCCGAAGGCAGAGGCCTCAACCCACTGAGCCACCCAGGCGCTCCCTGTATACTTATTTTTAAAGAGTAATTTTAGTAGTGAAACCTGAGCTACCCATGCTGGATTGTTGGAGTCATGCAGGTGTCAAGGCTCCTGGCCAAATTCTGCTAATGAAATTACAGCCAGGGTGGGTGGCTCAGTCGGTTAAGTGTCTGCCTTTGGCTCAGGTCATGATTCTGGGGTCCTGGAATCAGGGCCTGCATCCTGCTCCCTGCTTACCCAAGAGTCTGCTTCTCCCTCCCCCTCTGCCCTCCCCACACTTGTGCGCTCTCTCTTTCTCACTTTCTCTCTATGAGGTAAATAAATAAAAGTCTAAAAAAAAGAAAAAGAGAAAGAAACAAAAGCCGGTCATTAGGGGTGTGTCTTTCTATTCTTTTTTATTGGGAGGACATGTAAGTCAGTAGTTGTTGATTGGTGGGAAGGAAAGGAAAAAGAATAATGGGGCGCCTGTCTGGCTCAGTCAGTAGAGCGAGTCTTGATCTCCGAGCCACACGTTGGGTATCAAGTTTACCTTTAAATAAATCAACAAACAAACTTCAGGTTTTTAACTCAGAAATGCCATGAAGCAGACTCTGTAGCAGCTGTCAACTGGAGGCAAGCCACAGGTAGCCTGCATGGTTCTAATGTGTCTGTGCCACCCTCAAAGTCCTAACCTAGACTCTCTTGCATATTTAAAGAATACCTTAAGTAAACAACACCCCCCTTTTGGACAATAGCCATTTCCTTTATCTGGAATAATTTTTTGAATTGTGGAAAAGTAACCATTAAATTTACCATTTTAGGGGTGCCTGGGTGGCTCAGTGGGTTAAGTCTCTGTGTTCAGCTCGGGTCATGATCTCAGGGTCCTGGGATGGAGCCCCGCATCAGGCTCTCTGCTCAGCGGGGAGCCTGCTTCCTCCTCTCTCTCTGCCTGCCTCTCTGCCTACTTGTGATCTCTCTCTCTGTCAAATAAATAAATAAAATCTTTTAAAAAAGTTACCATTTTAACTATTTAAAGTGTTATAATACGTGGTATTTAGTACATCTACAGTGTTGTGCAACCGATAGTACTTTCTAGTTCCAAAAATTTTCATCATCCCAGAAGCAAGCCTGATACCCGTTAAGCAGTCCCGGAATAATTTTTGTTACCAATATTTTAAAATGAATGTCTAGAGATAGCATTCTCTCCTACCTGAAAGTTGATTTTAAGTGTTGAGACCTGGGTGTGTATATGAAAGGGATCCTGCCCTTCTTTACACACACACCTTTTATTCACATGCAGAAGTTAAGATTTTCAAGGTGAAAAAAAGGAGTGTTTTTTCATTCTTCAGTTTGTTAGGCTGAGTACTTAATGTTTGGTGGGTGTATGAGTATCTGTAGTTCTTCTGTTTGGAGGCTTGTTAGATCCTAATGATAACAAAAGGGTTCAGTGATGAGTGTGCTTTTTTTCTTCCTTTTTTTTTTTTTTTTTTTTTTTTTAAGTTTTTAATGTAGGCTTCATGCCCGGCATGGAGCCCAGTACAGGGCTTGAACTCACAACCCTGAGATCAAGACCTGAGCCAAGATCAAGAGTGGGATGGCTAACCGACTGAGCCACAGAGGCTCCCCATGAGTGTGCTTTCTATAACTTAATGTCTTCAGGTGTAACTTTAATTGAAACAGATATTCAAATTTTAGGTTGATTTGGACTCATAAATAAATGGCCAGATTCTAAAACAATCCATCTTGGGGAGTTTCAGACTAATAAAGAGAATTTTTTCCTTAATGTGCAGTGGGCTTGTCATGGGATGGAAGTCACTTTTGTAAGATGGGCAGGTAGTTTAAATGAATCAAAACTTTTAAATAAATCAAAACTTTGACAATAGCTGAGGTCATTGAAGTGGATTAATATTACAGGGCCCCTAAATTCATTTCATAGTAAAAGCTCTGTCTGTCTGTTCAGGAACCCTTTTCTCCTGCTCCTGGTAGAGTTTTCATTGCCAGATAGAAACTAAGAAGCCTACACAGCCTCCTGGTGCTATGACAGCCAGTTGGCTAACAACCAAGGGAGTGGTAGGATGAACATCCTGCTATCTCTAAGAGCTCTCTTGTGTTAAAGATGCCCTTTATGTGGTCTGTGGCAGGTTTCCTCCTTAATGCTGGTGAGATGTAGTTTTAAGAGCAGTTTTCGTGGAATTGTAGGAGAGAAAAGTTGATTGGACCCACAAGAAACATTTGCCTAAGTCCAGAAAAGAGGTAACAGGGTTGTCAAGAGAAAGCAGCATCACTAACTCTGGCTATCTTCTTTTCAGAATTCAAGAAATACCGTTCTGGCCTCTTCTGGATTTGGAGCATCTCTCCCAAGTTCATCACAACCTTTGACTTTTGGAAGTGGAAGGAGCCAGTCCAATGGGGTTCTAGCCACAGAAAACAAACCGTTGGGCTTCTCTTTTGGCTGTAGCTCTGCACCAGAGTCTCAGAAAGACTCTGATCTCTCCAAAAACTTGTTTTTTCAGTGCATGTCCCAAACCTTACCCACCAGTAACTACTTCACTACCGTTTCAGAGAGTTTGGCTGATGATTCCTCCAGTCGAGACTCATTCAAACAAAGCCTTGAGAGCCTGTGTAAAGGCAGATCCACTCTTGGAGCAGACACTAAATCAGGCTCTAAGGCTGGCAGCTCTGTGGATCGGAAGATGCCTGCAGAATCCATGCCTACCCTCACGCCAGCCTTCCCACGGAGCCTCCTAAATCCCCGCACCCCAGAGAGTCATGAAAATCTATTTTTACAGCCCCCTAAACTATCCCGAGAAGAGCCCTCTAACCCTTTCCTTGCATTTGTGGAGAAAGTTGAACATAGCCCTTTCAGCAGCTTTGCATCTCAGGCATCAGGTAGCTCTTCCTCTGCTACCACGGTCACCTCTAAAGCCGCAGCCAGCTGGCCCGAGGCTCACTCCTCTGCAGATTCAGCATCCTTAGCAAAGAAGAAAACCCTCTTCATCACAACTGACTCCTCTAAACTGGTGTCCGGTGTTCTGGGCTCAGCTCTTACCACCGGAGGTCCAAGCCTCTCTGCCATGGGGAATGGCCGCTCTAGCTCGCCCACCAGCAGCCTCACCCAGCCCATTGAGATGCCTACTCTCTCCTCCAGCCCCACAGAGGAGAGGCCAACTGTGGGGCCTGGGCAGCAGGACAATCCCCTCCTCAAAACCTTTAGTAACGTCTTTGGCAGGCACTCAGGCAGCTTTCTGTCCTCCCCAGCAGATTTTTCACAGGAGAACAAAGCTCCTTTTGAAGCTGTGAAAAGGTTCTCACTGGATGAGCGAAGCTTGGCTTGCAGACAGGACTCGGACTCCAGTACCAACAGTGACCTGTCAGATTTGAGCGATTCTGAGGAGCAGCTGCAGGCCAAGACGGGCATGAAGGGGATTCCAGAGCACCTAATGGGGAAGTTGGGCCCCAATGGGGAGCGAAGTGCTGAGCTATTGCTGGGCAAAGGCAAAGGGAAGCAGGCCCCAAAGGGCCGACCGCGGACCGCCCCCCTGAAAGGTGATCTTGCTGGGGTTATCCATTGCCTTGGCTCTGGCACTGGCCTCGAATGCCCGCCTATTGTGCTCCTGGGCAGCAGAAGCCCTTCCTTTGATGGGAAGTTCTATAATCACGTGGAATAAAATAGCCAGAAGGGCCCAGTAGAGGCCCCTCATGCAACCTTATGGTTCAGGGCAGGATTGCATCTAACCCAGCAGCGTTACTAAAGAGGGATACCTACCTGTGTAATGATAATCCCACAGAAGAGGACCCTTGAGACTCCTTTTGCTCAGGAGCTCTTTCCTGGTGTTTTTTTCATCTCTTTCTTCTCTTTGGCCCATCCTCTTTAATTTAGAGGAGATACTGAGTACAGCCTTTCATAGAATTACTTTAGCAAAAAGAATCACCCCTCAAATTTGCTTCTCTCTGTTACACATATAAGGTTTTAACACCTCTTCCAAAAGCCATTAACTCCGATGCTGTGAGGTTATGGTCCAGAATTACGTACGGGCAAGTATCTAAGAAAGTCGAATGGTGAAAAGTAACTGTTATCATTAGGAATTGGTATCCTAATGGGGGTACAAGAGTTGTTCGTAGAATAGTTGTATCCCTAGAGGCTAAAGGCAAGTGGCTATTTTCTGCTTTCTTGGGTTTTTCTCACCCGTGCCAGGGCTATTTCCTCTCAATGGGACACTGCTCACAAATTCTCTCCATGGTCCTTAGCTTCCAGTTAAGCCTCTTTGCTCCCTCCCTTTCTGTCAAGGATGGGTCTGGTAGGCACAAGCCAAGCCACGGCAAGGAAGAATGAGCCAGGTCAGGACAGAATGCAGCACCAGGAGGATCATGTTATTGGGTCTCATTAATACCAATCATGACCAGCTGTTTCTCCCCCTTCCCTTTCCACAGTTGGCCAATCAGTGCTGAAAGATGTGAGCAAGGTGAAGAAGCTGAAACAGTCTGGAGAGCCCTTCCTGCAGGATGGGTCCTGCATCAATGTAGCCCCTCACCTGCACAAGTGTCGGGAGTGCCGCCTGGAGCGGTATCGGAAGTTTAAAGAACAGGAGCAAGATGATTCCACTGTGGCCTGCCGCTTCTTTCACTTCCGGAGGTACCCAAACCGGTCTCTGTCTCCTTCCCCGTTTCCATTTCCCACTCTTTCTCTGAATCTCACATCTTTTCTTTGTTTTCCTTAACCCCTTGGCTCTGGGGTCTTTGCTCTGCCATAGGAGCCACTCAGGTGCTTGGATTGTGAAGTGACTGGTGGCTTTGTCCCAAGGGAATTGAAGCTGACCAGTCTGAACAGTTTAAGAGAAACCCCAGCAACTGTCCCAAGGCTGGAATATGCTTGTGGAGCTAGGGTGGGGAAAAGATAGAGTGGGGGAAAAGATAGATTTGAGGTCATAGAGTTAACAATGGGTCCATATTTTCTTTTTCTTTTTTTAAAGAAAAAGGCCCCTGAGCTTTGTTACATTATTCTTAACTTCGGTTCCATTTGAAACCAGTGGTATAAGCAGAAGGATGCGTGTTGTGGTGTATATGTGCCTGACCACTTACTCCTTTTTGGTACTGAAGTAACTTGAGGGGCGCCTGGGTGGCTCAGTGGGTTAAGCCTCTGCCTTTCGATCTGGTCATGAATCGGGGTCATGGGATCGAGCCCCGCATCGGCTCTCTGCACAGCAGAGTCTCTCTTCCTACTTGTGATTCCTCTGTCAAATAAATAAAATCTTAAAAAAATAAATAAATAAAGTAACTTGACTCTCTGAGAGAGGAAGAAGGAAAATTAGGAGATAATGGGAATTGTCCTTGAAATAGAGATAACTGACAAATCCTGGGACTGTCCCCTGCTCTTAAACCGAACAAATGCTTTTAGTCACTTTTCTTCTGCTTGATAAACTTAGAAATTCTTCTTCTAATTTCTTCTGAAGATTTTATTTATTTATTTGACAGAGAGACAGCGAGAGAGGGAACACAAGCAGGGGGCGTGGGGGTGGGAGAAGCAGACTCCTCGCTGAGCAGGGAGCCCCACGCAGGCCTCCATCCCAGGACCCTGGGATGATGACCTAAGCCAAAGGCAGAAGAATTTCATCTAAATGACCTTTCAGGAATTCTTCATTTGTAAAATAAATCCAAATGATTTATCCACATAGTATGGATTCACTCAGCAAATATTTACTGAGCACTTAACTATGTGTCAGACATTGTTGTGGGCACTGAGGGTTAAACAGCATATAAAACCATAAAGATCCAGACCTTAGGAGTTTGCTGAGGAGGCAGATTAAATATTTATTTAATAATAATAATAATTAATAATCAATTAATAATTAATTAATTAATTGTAAGGCATGTTAGCTGATAGTAACTATGAGAAAAATAAAGACAGAAGAGGATTGAAGTAAGGGGAGGTTAAGAGAAACTGTAGTTTAAATAGGATGATTTTAGAAACTGAGATTTGAGTAAAGACCTTGAGGAGGCGAAGGAGTAGTTTGCACATTTTCCTGGGAGACAAGTATTCCAGGTAGAAGGCGCAAGAGCAACTGTCCCAAGGCTGGAATATGCTTGTGGAGCTAGAGTGGCGAAAAGATAAGAGTGGGGGAAGGATAGATTTGAGGTCATAGAGTTAACAATGGGTCCATATTTTCTTTTTTTTTTTTTTTTAAGATTTTATTTATTTATTTGACAGAGAGAGTGACAGCAAGAGACGGAACACAAGGAAGGGCGTGGGGGAGGGAGAAGCAGGCTTCCTGCTGAGCAGGGAGCCTGATCAGGGACTTGACCTGAGCTGAAGGCAGACAGTTAACAACTGAGTGACCCAGGCGCCCCATCTGCCCATATTTTAAAAGAATACTCTAGGGACGCCTGGGTGGCTCAGTTGGTTAAGCAGCTGCCTTAGGCTCAGGTCATGATCCCAGCATCCTGGGATCGAGTCCGGCATCCGGCTCCTTGCTCATCGGGGAGCCTGCTTCTCCCTCTGCCTCTGCCTGCCATTCTGTCTGCCTGTGCTTGCTCTCTCTCCCTCTCTCTCTCTGACAAATAATTAAAATAAAATCTTAAAAAATAAAAAATAAAAAATAAATAAAAGAATACTCTAAGGGCCTTGGCTTTTATGTTGAAAGAGAAGTCACTGAAGGTTTTGAGCTGATGAGTGACACTGGGGAATGTTTTAAAGGATCACTGTAATTGCCTTCTTGAGAATAGATTATATTGAGGCAGAGGCAGAAACATGGAGAAGTAAGGAGGTTGTTGGAATTATCTAGGTGAGAAGTGATGGCCTGCTGATGGAAGTGGTGAGTCTGGTTGGATTAAGGATATATCTTGAGTGGGTCCCTAGGTGACTCAGTCGGTTCTTCCTCTCCCTCTGCCTGCTGCTCCCCCCTGCTTTTGCTCTCTCTGTTTGTAAAATAAATAAATAAAATCCCCCCCCAAAAAAATATATTTTATATATATATATTTTTTAAGATTTATTTATTTGACACAGAGACAGAGAGAGATCACAAGTAGGCATAGAAATAGGCAGAGAGAGAGGGGGAAGCAGGCTCCCTGCTGAGCAGAGAGCCCGATGCAGGGCTCGATCCCAGGACTCTGAGACCACGACCTGAGCCGAAGGCAGAGGCTTAACCCACTGAGCCACCCAGGCGCCCCAAAAGAATATATTTTAATTTTTTTTTTAATTTTTTTTTTAAAGATTTTATTTATTTATTTGAGAGAGAGACAGTGAGAGAGAGCATGAGCAAGGAGAAGGTCAGAGGGAGAAGCAGACTCCCCATGGAGCTGGGAGCCCGATGCGGGACTCGATCCCGGGACTCCGGGATCATGATTCCCGGGATCATGACCTGAGCCGAAGGCAGTCGTCCAACCAACTGAGCCACCCAGGCGTCCCCAAAAGAATATATTTTAAAGGGAGACCTCATATGATTTTCTGATGGGTTAGATGAGGAGTATGAAAGAAGGAATGAAGTCAAAGGTGTTTCTACAGCTTTTGACCTAAAAACTGGAAGTGTGGGATTGCCATTTACTGATAAGGAGATTTCTCAGGGAAAAGCAGGTTTGGGGAAGAAAATGAGAACTTTAATTTGGGCTTCTTAAATTTGAGAAGCCTGTTAGATTTCTTTTCTTTTTTTTTTTTTTAAAGATTTTATTTATTTATTTGACAGATGGAGATCACAGAGAAGCAGGCAGAGAGAGAGGAGGAAGCAGGCTCCCTGCTGAGCAGAGAGGCCGATGCGGGGCTGGATCCCAGGACTCTGGGATCATGACCTGAGCCGAAGGCAGAGGCTCCAATCCACTGAGCCACCCAGGCGCCCCTGAGAAGCCTGTTAGATTTCTAGATGAAGATGTTGAGAGGGCAGCTGGAAACTTAACTCCTGAATTGAGGGGGAAAGTCCAGGCAGGAGGTTAAAAATTTTAATGTCACCGGGTATTTAAAGCTGTATGTCTGGGCACCTGGGTAGCTCAGTTGGTTAAGCATCTGCCTTCGGCTCAGGTCATGATCCCAAGGTCCTGGGATCGAGCCCCGCATCGGGCTCCCTGCTTGGTGTGGGGAGCCACCTTCTCCCTCTTCCAGTCCTCCTGCCTGTGCTCTGTCAAACAAACAAACTAATTAATTAATTAATTAATTTTTAAAAAACTCTTAAAAAAAAAAAAAGGCTGTGTATCTGCTTGAGGAGTCCAGGTGTAGTTAGAAAAGAGAAACATTCCTAGGACCAGTCCTGGAGTTCTGCAATATTGAGAGACTAGAAAGATGAGGAGGAGCTGGTAAAGGAGGTTCAGAAAGAATAGCCAGTAAGATGTCCTGGAAGGCAAGTGAAGAAAATATTTCCAGGAAGGAATAATGAACTGTGGCAAATAATGGGGATTGAGTCAGGTCAGATAAGGACTGAAAATGACCATTGGATTTAAGGGGGCAAATGACCTTGTCAAAAACAGTTTTGGTATGTTGTGGTGGAGGGAAGCCTGATAGGAGCAGATGAAGAGAAAATAAAAGGGAAGAGGAACTGTTGACAGTTTAGACAACTCTAAAGAAATGTTGCTCTTACAAACAGATAAATAGAGGAGTGTGTGGGATTGAGAGGATTTTTTTGAGATAGCAAGTTTATAAATACCAGAGTGATTCAGTAGGGAGGAAATGAGATGATGTAGACAGGAGAGTATGTGATGTGATGCCTATGCAAGAGGGTAGGTTGTAGAGCATAAGTGGAGAGATGAGTCTTGGCTGGGAGGTCCATTCCTAGCAGCAGCAGGTCAGATGGAGGAACATGAGCACAGTTGCAGGAAGGCCTGGTAGTATGGTGGGGGGAACTTGCGGGACATCTCTTCTGGTTCTTTGTATTTTCTCAGTGGAATACATAGCAAGGTCCTTATGGGAGAAATTATACTAGAGGTTAGAAAAGAAAGGTGAGGATATGAAACAGGCATCTAGGAGAGTGTGCACCAGGAAACTCTTGTGACTGGGAGGCAACATGAAGGGCTCACCTGACTTAGGTAGACATGAATTTCAAGTGTGACAGTGAGCGTGGCTGTTTTCCTCTGGTCATGGTCAGTGGTGTGGGTGCACATGTCAAACAGGCAGATAGAGAAATTGCAGGGCATTTATGAGGACAGCTTTTTTTTTTTTTTTTAATGTTTTATTTACTTATTTGTCAGAGAGAGTGAGTCAGAGCAAGAGTGAGCACAAGCCGAGAGAGCAGTAGGCAGAGGGAGAAGCAGTTTCCGAGCTGAGCAAGGAGCCTGATGCGGGACTGGATCCCAGTCAAGACCTGCGCTGAAGGCAGACGCTTGACTGGCTGAGCCACCCAGGCGTCCCCTGAGGACAGCTTTTTTTTTTTTTTTTTTTTTAATTCTGTCTTTTTTTTTTCTTTTTTTTTTTTAGATTTTATTTATTTATTTATTTGACAGACAGAGATCACGAGTAGGCAGAAAGGCAGGCAGAGAGAAAGGGGGAAGCAGGCTCCCCACTGAGCAGAGAGCCCAATGTGAGGCTCGATCCCAGGACCCTGAGATCACGACCTGAGCCGAAAGCAGAGGCTTTAACCCACTGAGCCACCTAGGTGCCCCTGAGGACAGCTTTTTATTTTTTTTTTTATTTTTTTTTTTTATTTTTTCATAAGAGACTCTTTTTTTTTTTAAAGATTTTATTTATTTATTTGACAGAGAGATCACAAGCAGGCAGAGAGGCAGGCAGAGAGAGAGGAGGAAGCAGGCTCCCCTAGAGAGCAGAGAGCCCGATTCGGGGCTCGATCCCAGGACCCTGAGATCATGACCTGAGCCGAAGGCAGCGGCCCAACCCACTGAGCCACCCAGGCGCCCCTGTTTTATTTTTTAAAGTACCCTGCTTTATGAACTTATTTATTTCTCTTTTTAAGATTTTATTTATTTGACAGTGAAAGAAGGAACACAAGCAAGGGGAGTAGGGGAGGGAGAAGCAGGCTTCCCACTGAGCAGGGAGCCCGATGCAGGGCTCGATCCCAGAACCCTGGGATCATGACCTGAGCCGAAGGCAGACGCTTAATGACTGAGCCACCCAGGCACCCCTGAGATCAGTTGTTTTTGGGTTTTTTTTGAAGATTTTATTTGTTTATTTGACAGATAGAGATCACAGGTAGGCAGAGAGGCAGGCAGAGAGAGAGAGAGAGAGGAAGCAGGCTTCCTGCAGAGCAGAGAGCGGGATGTGGGGGGCTCAATCCCAGGACCCTGGGATCATGACCTGAGCCGAAGGCAGAGGCTTTAACCCACTGAGCCACCCAGGCGCCCCTGAGATCAGTTTTTTAAAGAACACAGACATAGTTAAGTGTTCACAGGTCTTTCTGCTAGTGAAGAGAATGCATACTGTGTTGATCAAATAGAGTGGAAAATTTTTTTTTCTTTAAGTATGTCTGCATCCAGTTTGGGCATTGAACTTGCAACCCCAAGGTAAAGAGTTGGATGCCCTTCCAGCGGAGCCAGCCAGATGCCCTCCAGGGTGAAAATACTTACTGCATGCTGATTGCTCTTAAGTCCTACCTAATGTTTTTAGCTCCAAGGGTTTTAGGTGTGTATCAGTTTGCCCGGCTGCTGCTGTTTACCATGTATTTGATTATCTACCTTCCTATCTCAGGTTGATCTTCACTCGGAAGGGGGTGCTCCGTGTGGAGGGATTTCTGAGTCCCCAGCAAAGTGACCCTGATGCCATGAACCTGTGGATTCCCTCTTCCTCCCTAGCAGAAGGGATAGACCTAGAGACCTCAAAATACATCCTGGCTAACGTTGGGGACCAGTTCTGCCAGCTTGTGATGTCCGAGAAGGAGGCAATGATGATGGTGGAGCCACACCGTAAGATACCCTCTTGCTTGTTTTCCCAGCAGTCCTGCTTAAGAACTTTACTTTTTGTTGCTTAAAGGAGGAGTGGTAGGAGTGGCAGGTGGCATTTTCTGTGGATGAGCTAAGACTGATAAGACTTTTCTTTGTAGAGTAGCTGAGGCCCTAACTGTATCCAGCAGACCTCATTCCTTCCTTGATCCCTGTCTGGGTTTCGGTCACCCTGAATATTTTCAGTTTGCTTTGAACCAGTTTATAATAGTAAGTGATACATGGTTTGTGAATAGATGAAGTGCTACTGGGTACCATGTTTCACACCTAGACCCCACCATTGTTCAGATATTTTTGATATTTCATGTCTGTGAGATATTATACCCAAGGAAAATTCTCCTATGAAAATTTTCCCTACATTCCAAGTGAAGAATCCTCTTACTTCAAACTCCCCCAAATTGAAATTTTTACATTATCTTAAGTAAAAACAATGTGGCATTTATTTTCGTTGACACTTGTTCAGAAATATTAGCAGTAGCATGTTTTCTTTCTCTTAACATTTATAGAAACAGTAACTTTTTACATCTTTGAGTTTTATTGCTGGACAAAACAGTTCGAGTAGCAGTCAGTGGATCTGGGGTCTTTTGCTGTTATTCACAATGATCAACGCCAACAATATTCCTCTTCCTCTTTCCACCAGAGAAAGTGGCATGGAAGCGAGCAGTGCGTGGTGTACGGGAGATGTGTGATGTATGTGAAACAACTCTCTTCAATATCCACTGGGTTTGTCGCAAATGTGGATTTGGGGTCTGCCTTGACTGTTACAGGCTCAGAAAAAGCCGTCCACGCAGTGGTGAGCAAATATTGTCCTGTTCAGTTCTAAAGGTAACCTGTCATTGGAGGTATGGGACTTGAAGCCAGAATGGGTTTGTGCCCCCTCTTGAACTGCTTAGCTTCCCTCATTTTTGTTGCATTGTGAGGCCTTAACAGTTGCCAATATTCCAACCTGACTGGGTAGGCTAAAAGAAGCCAAGAAGGGTTATTCTTTACCTTCTGTTGTTTCTCTCTCTCTCTCTTTTTTTTTTAAACAACATCTTTATTGATGTTACTATATAACTCACATGCTCTAAAATTCACCCTTTTAAGGTGTACAATTCAAAAGTTTTTAGTATATTCTCAAGGTTGTGCAACCATTTCCACTATCAAATTTCACTCTGGTTGCTCCAAAAAGAAATGTTGTACATATTAGCAATATTAGCAATAACTGTATTCTCCCTCTGCTCAGAGAGAGCAGATGGTAATGGTAACCATTAATCTACTTATTGTCTCATCTCTGTAGAATTACCTGTTGTGTACCTGTCTTATAAATGGAATCATACAGTATTTGGCCGCCTTTGACCTTTTACTTCAGCATACTGTTTTAAAGCTTCATCCATGCTATAGCACGTATCATTAACTTATTATTTTGTATTGCCAAATAATATTATATTGTATGGATATACTACATTTTGTTTATCTGTTCTGATGGATATGTAGGTTGTTTCCATTCTGAGCTATTATGAAAAGTACCACTATGAACATTTGTACACAGGTTTTTTGTGTGAACATAGGTTTTCATTTCTTTTGAGTATATGCTTAGAGTGGAATTGATGGGCTATATGGAAGTTCTACATTTAACCCTTTCAGGAACTGTCAAATTGTATTCCAGAGTAGCTACATCATTTTATGATGCACAAGGGTTCCAGTTTTTCCCCTCTTTCGAACACTTAATATTGTCTGCCTTTTTTTTTTTTTTTTTCCCCAAGATGTTATTTATTTATTTGATCTCTGGAGAGAGATCACAAGTAGGCAAAGAGGCAGGCAGAGAGAGGGGGAGGCAGGCTCCCTGCCAAGCAGAGAGCCTGATGCGGGACTGGATCCCAGGATGCTGAGATCATGACCTGAGCCAAAGGCAGAGGCTTTACCCACTGCGCCACTCAGGTGCCCCTGTTGTCTGCCTTTTTGGTTATAGGAAAGAGTCCCTATCACATTGTGTGATTTTGGTTTGCATTTCTCTGATGATTGTTGGTGTTGAGCTTCTTTTCACGTGCTTATTGGCTCTTTGTTTATCTTTGGAAAAATGACTATTCAGATCTTTTGCGTCCTTTTGTCCTTGCTTTATCTTACTACTTATCTGAAAACCTTCTTGCCCCTTGACCTCCTCATTCTTCCCTCTTCAGAGACATTCTGCAACCATTGGAATACAGTGGTTTAGAGCTTATGCTACTGGGATTTGAAATCTCCTTGCACAGCTTATTACGCCAACTGTGGTATCTTGGGCTAGTTTCTTAATCACTAGAGTCTCAATTTCCTTATCTATAAAACAAAGGTGACATGAGTACTTCTCTCTCTCGGCATTGTTGTGAGGATTAAATGAGATATTTAAGTGGTTAGCCCAGGGCCTAACATTCACTACTTACTGTGTGTTGTGTAGCTATCAGATCTTCCACTTCTGCCCATGAAAGATTAACTTCCACAGGAATTGCCCTCCTGCCATAAACAAGAAAACCAGACTAAATGTATGAATCCACGGTTTTAGACATTGGACCGCAGGCAGCATGAGTCTGTGATCTGTAAGAGAAGAGAAGAACCAAGGCAAATCCTACAATTTCTCCAGTTTACTGCCTGCAGGCAGTTTCCAGGCTGCAGTAGAGGGAAGAGCAACTAAAACCGCCTGGCAGTCTCACTGAGCTGACACAGAGCTCAGAGTCTGAGAAGAGTAAGGCAGTGTGCTAAAAACCTTAGAGCTGCACAGAGAGAACAGCAGAGGCTGCAGAGCAGTCACCTCAGTTTTTGGCTGTATAGTGATCTGCACATATACGAGGCCCAAAAAGGAACCTTCAGAAACCAATTGACGTAATAATTTCCATAACTTACCATTTGTATTGCTACCAGAAAGACACTGGGAAGAGTCCAGAAGGGTCACAGTTTGACAGTGGGACTAATGTAGCTCCAGAATAAAGGGGTCTCTGGAGATAACATAGTGTAAAGCAAGCCTAGGAAGGATCCAACTGATCTGCAGGCTACTTAACTATGCACCAGACTAAAACCAAACATTCTTGAAAGGATTACAACAAAATCCAGCGTTCTGAAACATTAAAGTAAAAAAACTCTGCATTTAGTCATGAAAAATCAGGGGGCAACTGGCTGGCTCAGTAGAGCATGCAGTTCTTGATCTCAGGGTCATGAATATGAGCCCCACACTGGGGATAGAGTTGACTTGAGAAAGAAAGAAGGAAAGAAAGGGAAGGAAGGAAGAAGGAGGGAGGGAGGAAGGAGCTGGTATGAGTCTCTTTGGTACTGGACAACTACTTGCAAAGGAATGAAACCAGACCACTGTCTTAACACCATACACAAAAATAAACTCAAAATGGATTAAATAACTAAATGTGAAACCCAAAACCATAAAACACATGTAAGAGAACATAGGCAGTAATCCCTTAGGTATTGGCCTTAGCAACATTTTTCTGAATATGTCTCCTCAGGCAAAGGAAACAAAAGAAAAATGAACTGTTGGGACTATACCAAAATAAAAAGCTTTTCCACAGCAAAGGAAACCATCAACAAAGCAAAAAGGCAGCCTCCTGAATGGAAGAAGATATTTGCAAGTGATATATCCAATAAAGGGTTAATATCCAAACTATATAGATAACTTATATCAATGCCCCCCCCAAAACCAAACCAAAACAAAACAAAAACAAAAAAACCTGTCTGGTTAAAAAATGGGCAGAGGACCTGCATAGACATTTTTTCAAAGAAGGCATACAGATGGCCAGCAGACACATGAAGACATGTTCCACATTATTCCCATCAGGTAAATGAAGACCAAAACCACAGTGAGATCTTGTGTCACGCATGTCAGAAGGGCAAGTATCAAAAAGACAAGAAATAACAACTGTTGGGGAGAGTGGAGAAAAAGGAACCCTCATGCACAATTGGTGGGAATTTAAATTGGTGTAGTCACTGTGGAAAACAGTATGGAGGTCCTCCAAAGAAAATGGATATGGTAATTCAAAAAAATGTACCACAGTGTTTACTGCATTGCTTTTTACAATAGGCAAGATATGGAAGCAACCCAAGTGTCCATTTGTTGATGAATGGATTAAAAAAATGGGAGGGGAGGGTATACACATATGTATCTCCATACACGTGATGAAATACTACTCTGCCATAAATAAGGACATCTTGCCACTTGGAACAACATGGATGTACTTAAAGACTATTGCACTAAGTGAAATAAATCAGACAAAGATAGATACCATATTTTTCACTTATGTGTGAAATCTCAAAAATAAAACAGGGACACCTGGCTGGCTGGCTCAATCAGATGCAAGTCTTGATCTCAGGGACAAGTTCAAGCCCCACATTGGGCATAGAGACTACTTAAAAAAAATTTTTTTTAATTAAAAAAAATAATAATAAAGGGGTGCCTGGGTGGCTCAGTCAGTTAAGTGTCCAACTCTTGATTTCAGCTCAGATCATGATCTAAGGACCATGAGATTGAGCCCCATGTCAGCCCCTCCGCTGGGCTTGGAGTCTGCTTAAGATTCTCTCCAATAAATAAAATCTTCAAAAAGCTGGGGAGGTACCTGAGTGACTTAGTTGGTTAAGTGTCTGCCTTTGGCTAAGGTCATGATCCCAGGGTCGTGGGATCGAGTCCCACATCGAGCTCCTTGCTCAGTGGGAAGCCTGCTTCTCTGTCTGCCTGAGGCTCTCCCTGCTTGTACTCTCATGCTCACTCTTGCTCTCTTTCTGATGAATAAAATCTTTAAAAAAAAAGATTCTCTCCCTCTCCTTTTGCCACCCCCACCCCCACTCACATGTTCTTGCTTGCTTGCTCTCTCTCTAAAAAAAATAAAAATAAAACCAAAATGAACAAATAAACTCATAAATAAATGCAGAGAACAGACTAGTGATTGCCTGAGGGGAAGCAATGGGAGGTGAGCAAAATAGGTGAGAGGGTTTAAGAGGTACAGAGTTCCAGTGATAAAGTCATCACAGGGATGAAAATTATGGCACAGGGAATCTAGTCATTAACGTTGTAATAATATTGTGTGGTGGCAAATGGCACCTACATTTGTCTTGGGGAACATGGAGTAACGTATAGAATCAAATCATTATGTTGTAAACGTGAAACTACTTCAGAGTATCAACTATATGTCAACTATGCTTCAGTAATAAAAATTTTAAAGTAAAAGAATAATCATGTTTGCAAAAAAGGCAGGATAATATAACCAATAATCTGTGAGAAAGAAACCATCAATAGAAACAAATCCAGAAATGACAGTGATGATAGAATTACTGTAAAAGGACCTTAAAGCTGCTATTATAAATGGTATAAATATATTGGAAGACATGAACATGATGAGTAGAGAAACAGAATACATAAGAGACCCAAGTGAATCATCTAGGTATGAAAAATATCTTTAAAAAAATTTATACTAGGTGGGATAATGGCAAATTAGACACTGCAGAAGAAACTGAAGTTGGACATAACAATAGAAACCAACACTGAGGACAGAGAGAAGACAGACTTAAACTTATAAATTGAAGAGTGCCTTGTTGAAGTATAGGAAGTATCAGGCAGTTTATGAAACAAAATTGTTGGGAGTTCCAGAAAGAGCAACAGTGGGAGGACAGATATAAAAAAATATCTGAACAAATAATGCCACAAGTTTTCCAAATTTGATGAAAAAGCTATAAAACCACAAATCCAGCAATTAATCTCAAACAGAAGAAGCATTAAAACCATCCAAAACACATCAAAAACCACCTTACTGGAAAGCAGTAAGAGAAAGAGAAAATCTGAAAATCACAGGAGGGTAAAAAAACAAATTATATACAAAGTAACGAAGATAAGAATGACAACCAACTTGTCAGAAAGCTCTTGATACAGTAAAGGAATTCAGATTTACACAAAGGAATGAAAAACTTCCTACGTGAAAAATATATAAGTAGATATGAAAGGCTTTCTTATTTTTTTACTCTCTCTAAAAGATAGTTGGGTTTTTTTTTTTAATTTTTTTTAAGATTTTATTTATTTATTTGATAGAGAAAGATCACAAGTAGGCAAAGAGGCAGGCAGAGAGAGAGGAGGAAGCAGGCTCCCTGCTGAGCAGAAAGCCCGATTGGGGACTCGATCCCAGGACCCTGAGATCATGACCTGAGCCGAAGGCAGAGGCTTTAACCCACTGAGCCACCCAGGCGCCCTAAGATAGTTGTTTAAAGGAAAAGTAACAATGTAATGAGGGGCTGATAATATATGTAAAATTAAAATATGTAGTAATAGCACAAACGAAGGGAAATGGAATTAGTTCAATTTTACGGGGGTCTCAGGGAAAAGAGTGGTATAATATTTGAATATAGACTGTGTTAAGTTAGAGACACTACAAACCCTAGGGCCAGTAGTAACAAAGGTATATATAGCTAATAAGCCAAAAGTAGAGAGAAAATCAAATCATAAAAGCAGCCAGTTCAAAAGACGGGATAAGTAAACAGATACATAGTATATCTTGTATTCAGTTTTGTTGGGGTGGATAGCACTATTACAAAAACAACAACAAAAACCAAAAAACCTGTCCATAAAGGTCTTTGAGGGAGTGATAAATTAAGGTTGAAAAGCACTGAACCTAGTACAGGTAGGGGCATCTTATATAATTCAAAAGACTGACCTTTTCTCCCTGAGATCAGGAGCAAAGCAAGATGTCTGCTTTTCATAATTTCTCAACACTAAACTGGAGTTACTACACATTTCTACACATCAAGAAATAAAAGCATACCCTTCCCGCACCTGCGCCCCCAAAAAAGGCATATAGACTGGAACGAAGTAAAACGTTTTTATTTCCAGGTGACATGGCATCTGTGTAGTAAATACCAAGTAGAGTGCCTGGCTGGACCAGTAGGAAGAGGTTGTGACTCTTGATCTCATGGTCGTGGGTTCATGCTCCATGATGGGTGTAGAGATTTATTTTTTTTAACTTCGTAGTCTTTTTTAGATTTTATTTTTAGGTAATCTCTATACCTGCTGTGGGGCTTGCACTCACAACCCAAGAGTCAATTTCAGGAGTCATGTGTTCTACGGACTGAGCCAGCCAAGCACCCCAGATGTAGTGATTATTTTTAAAAAAAGTAGGGGGGGGGGCGCCTGGGTGGCTCAGTGGTTAAAACCTCTGCCTTCAGCTCAGGTCATGATCTCAGGGTCCTGGGATCGAGTCCCGCATCGGGCTTTCTGCTCAGCGGGGAGCCTGCGTCCTCCTCTCTCTCTGCCTGCCTCTGTGACTACTTGTGATCTCTGTCAAATAAATAAATAAAATCTTAAAAAAAAAAAAAAGAAGAGAAAGAAAAAAAGCCTAAGAAATCTACAAAAAAGCTACAAGAACTAAAATGTGCGTTTAGCAAGATTGCAGGACAAAACACAACAAAAATCAATTCTATTTCTATATGCTGTCAATGAGCAATTAGAATTTGAATTTTTAAATCACTATCCTTTATGGCAGCATCAAAAAAACATGAATTGTGTAGGGATAAATTTAGTCAAAATGCAAAAAACGCATACACTGAAAACTACAATTGCTGAGAAAAATGAAAAAAGACAAAATAAATGCAGAGATGTGACATATTCATGGAAAGAAGATGGTGTACTAAGATGTCACTTCTTCCAAATTAATCTATTACATGTAATTCAAATCAAAATCCCGGTAGACCTTTTTGTAGAAATTGACAAGCTGGTTCTAAAATTTACATGAAATCAGGGACGTCTGGGTGGCTCAGTTGGTTAAGCAGCTGCCTTCGGCTCAGGTCATGATCCCAGCATCCTGGGATCGAGTCCCACATCGGGCTCCTTGTTCTGTGGGGAGCCTGCTTCTCCCTCTGCCTCTGCCTGCCACTCTGTCTGCCTGTGCTCGCTCGCTCTCTCTAAAAAAAATAAAAATAAAAATAAAATAAAATTTACATGAAATCAAAGGACTAGAATAATGAAAACAATTTTGAAAAAGAAGGAGGCAGTTGGAGGATTTATACTACATTTTTTTTTTAAGATTTTATTTATTTATTTGACAGAGATCACAAGTAGGCAGAGAGGCAGGCAGAGAGAGAGGAGAAAGCAGGCTCCCCACGGAACAGAAAGCCCAATGCGGGGCTCCATCCCAGGACCCTGAGATCATGACCCAAGCCGAAGGCAGAGGCCCAACCCATTGAGCCACCCAGGCGCCCCTATACTACTTCATTTTAAGAGTTATGATATAGCTACAGGAATCAAGGGATTGTGGTAATACAATAAAACAGAAATAAGCACACATATAATCAGCTGATTAGTTAACAAAGGTGCCACAATAATTCAGTGGGGAAAAGATAGTTCTTTCAACAAATGGTACTGGAATAAACTATGTATCCATACTCAAATAAAATAAACTTAATTTTTACTCATGTCATATATTAAAAGTAAATCATGGGCCTAAACATAAAAGCTAAAACTATAAAACCTCCAGAAGAAAAAATAGAAGATCTTTGTATCCTTGGGTTGGGTAAATATTTTTTAGATAGGACAAATTATCAAATTTGAAAGCTATCGCTGTTCAAAAAAACAGTCTCAAATAAAAAGGTAAGCCACAGATTGGGAGAAGAGATTGATCCCATATTTGTTAAAGGACTTGAATCCACCATAAAGACGTCTTAGAACTCAATAAGAAGACAAACTAATTTTTTAAAATTAACATATAATGTATTTTGTTATATAATGTATTTGTTTCATGGGTACAGGTATGTGATTCATCCTTACACAATTTACAGCACTCACCACAGCACATATCCTCCCCAGTGTCCATCATCCAGCTACCCAATCCCTCCAACCCCCCTCCACTCCAGCAACCCTCAATTTGTTTCCTGAGATTAAGAGTCGCTCATGGTTAGTCTCCCTCTCTGGTTTCATCTTGTTTCATTTTTTTCCCCCTCTTCCCCTATGATCCTCTGCCTTGTTTCTTAAATTCCACATATCAGTGAGATCATATGATAATCAGTGGGAGATGTTCCTCTCTGATTGACTTATTTCACTTAGCATTATACCCTCTAGTTCCATCCATGTTATTGCAAATGCCAAGATTTCATATTTTTGATGGCTACATCATAATACAGACAACCCAGTTTTTTTTTTTTTTTTAATTTTTTTTTTTTTTTTATTTATTTATTTGACAGACAGAGATCACAAGTAGGCAGAGAGGCAGGCAGAGAGAGAGGAGAAAGCAGGCTCCCCACCGAGCAGAGAGCCCGATGCGGGGCTCGATCCCAAGACCCTGGGATCATGACCTGAGCCAAAGGCAGAGGCTTTAACTCACTGAGCCACCCAGGCGCCCCGACAACCCAGTTTTTAAGTGAGCAAAAGATTTGAACAGATACTTTACCAAAGAAGATAGATCAATAGAAAATTAGAACCATAATGAACAATCCCTGGATCCACTTGGAAGGCTAGAATTTTAGTGACTGATAATACCAAGTGTTGCCAAGGATGTGGAAGAACTAGAACTCTTAAAATTGCTGGTAGGAATGCACACTGATAACCTCACTTTGGAAAACCTGTATGGCCATTTCTTATAAACATTCCATATGACCCAGCATCCCACTTCTAGGGATTTATGAGAGAAATGAAAACATGTCCACATAAAAGATTGTACTTGGATGTTTATAGCAGCTTTATTCATAATAGCCCAAAATTGGAAACAATCCAACTGTTCACCAGCTGGTAAATGAGTATGTTAAAAAAAAAAAGTATATCTATACAATGGAAGAGTATTCAGCCATTAAAAAGGAATGATTACTGATACATGAACAGTATGTATAAATCTCAAATCATGCTATCTGAAAGAAACCTGACACAAATGACTATATACTGTATGCTTCCAATTATATGAAATTCTAGAAAAAGCAAAACGTTAGTATTAGAAAGTTGATCAGTGGTGGCCAGAGATTAAGAAAAGGCTTTGACCACAAGCATAGGACTTGAGGGAACATCAGGAAGGGAGATGGAAAGTTCTATATCGTGAAGGTGGTGGTGTGTATACAGTTGTATACATTTGTCAAAATTACATTGAAGTGCACACTTTAAATTGTTGAATTTTTTGTATGTATATACAATAAATAATAAAACAATGAAGCAGATTCTTTGAAAGTTAGATGTTGTCTTTTCTGGCCCGAGAGAAAGTTGGCCTATAGGATCTGAAACTCTGACTCACTGAGAAGGATACATCTTGTGACCCTCGTAAAATAAATGAAGTTCTTTCATTTCTGTTTCAGAGACAGAAGAGATGGGTGATGAAGAGGTTTTCTCCTGGTTGAAGTGTGCAAAGGGGCAGTCCCATGAACCAGAGAATCTCATGCCCACACAGATCATCCCTGGCACAGGTAAGGGAGTTCTTTTCAAAATTTGGTGAAAGAAGGGCTCCTGGCTAGCTCAGAGGAGTGGTGGTTCTTGATTTCGGGGTTGTGTGTTTGAGCCCCATATTGGGTATAGAAATTACTTAAATAAACTTCAAAAAAATACTAAAAATAAAAAAAATTTGAGGGGAAAAACGTGTTTTTAAGTTAATTTAGGTATAACTCACACACCATAAAATCTGGTGAGGTGGTTTATCCTGGCCAGATTTTATTTAGCCTCCCCAGATTTTTCTGACAGTTTGAATCGTTAGATAGCTGTTAGATTTTATGCAGCCAGTGCACACACTTCTCCTCACATTTCTGGTTGGAGACATTGGTTACTTTTCCACGTAACATTTTACATTCCTGTGGTTGGTAGGATCAGAATAGAAAAAGTCCCAAATGCTTCTAGAAAGACTTTTGATTTTAGGTTTGTAAAAATCCACCTTAAGCTAATCAGACATCTTGAATCCCTGAAGAAGGCAGCTTAACAGTAGGAATGAGTGATCCTGTTTATGTCACAGTCCCAGCTTACTTCAGTGAGTCATCCAAAAAGTTTCCAGCTTCCATACTTCTGATAACACATAGACATTGAAGATGGCCAGTCCACTATCTATATTCTCCTCTGCTGTGCAAGGGGCACTCTGGATCCTTATACCCAGTGCCTCCAAGCAGAAGTGTTCCCTCAGTGCACTGGTAGGATGGCTGCTCCCTGCTGATCTAAGCATTGGTTAAATGTTCATGTTAAGTTTGCACTGGTCTGGGTTTTTTTTTTCTTTGTTTTTTTAAATTTTTATTATTTTTTTTATTTTTTAAGATTTTATTTATTTATTTGACAGAGATCACAAGTAGGCAGAGAGGCAGGCAGAGAGAGAGAGGAAGCAGGCTCCCCGACGAACAGAGAGCCCGATGCCGGGCTCGATCCCAGGACCCTGGGATCATGACCTGAGCCAAAGGCAGAGGCTTTAACCCACTGAGCCACCCAGGCGCCCTGGTCTGGTTTTTTTCTCTACATTTTCTTTTTTGTTAGGTATAACTTAAAGTATACAAATCTCAAGTATACAATTCAAAATGTTTACCATGCTTTCGAACATTAAGGAATCTACCCCTAGAGTTTCTCCTACAGGTCAGCTTGCTAATGTTTACTAGAAGAGGGAGTGTAGCTTAGTAGTTAAGAGTGCACACAACTTTAGGGCTAAGTATACCTCAGCTAAACTGTTAGTACTTCCATTTACCAACTATGTGTGCTTGAGCAAATGACGTAAACTACTCTGAGGATCAGTTTCATCATCAGAAATTGAGAGTGTGGGGCACCTGGCTACCTCAGTCAGTGGAGTGCAGTGCTTGATCTTGGGGCTGTGAGTTCGAGCCCTATATTAGGTGTAGTGATCACTTAAAAAAAATACAATCTTTAGGGGTGCCTGGCTGGTGTTCAGTTGGTAGAATATGCGACTCTTTTTTTTTTTTTTTTTTTTTTTTTAAGATTTTACTTATTTATTTGACAGAGGTCACAAGTAGGCAGAGATGCAGGCCGAGAGAGAGAGGGGGAAGCAGGCTCCCTGCCGAGCAGAGAGCCTGATTTGGGACTCAATCCCAGGACCCTGAGACCATGACCTGAGCCGAAGGCAGAGGCTCAACCCACTGAGCCACCCAGGCGCCCCGAACATGCAACTCTTAATCTCAGGGTCTTGAGGTCTGGGTGTGGATCCTGCTTAAATAAATTTAGGGGTGCCTGGGTGGCTTGGTCAATTAAGCGTCTGCCTTCGGGTCCTGAGTTCTAGTCCCATGTCAGGCTCTGTGCTCAGCCAGGAGCCTGCTTCTCCCCTTCCCTCTGCCTTCTGCTCCCCCTGCTTGTGTACTCTCTCTCTCTGTCAAATAAATAAAATCGTAAGTAAAATCTTTTTCAAAAAAAATTGAGGGTAAAGGCTACCACCTCACTGAAATGTGCAAGGGTTGAGGAGGGTAATGTAAATGAGATCCTTAGCACAATACCTGGCACATAAAACATTCTGCGGCTTTCGTTGTTGCTGTCTGTCTTCCAGCTCTTTACAATATTGGAGACATGGTACATGCTGCCCGGGGCAAATGGGGAATAAAAGCAAACTGCCCTTGTATTAGTCGGCAGAACAAATCTGTGCTGAGACCTGCTGTCACCAATGGGATGTCACAGGTAAAGTGGTATGTGCGGGTATAAGTGAGAGAAACTTCACCTCTTAGTTCTGGGAAGTGCCCCCATTTTCACCTGTGTTGTCCTAGGCTACTGTAGGATACCTGAGGAATTAGGGGATGGAGAAGTGTTTCTAGAGAGAGCCCCAAAAATGTTACTCAGGGATTTGATTCCCTCTGCCTGGTATGAGTTTCTCTTCAGTCATTTTTAAAACCATTTCAGGCTGGGTTGATAAATAGCACAAAGAAGTTCTCTGCATCTTGTCAAGATTTACACTTTAGAGTCCTTATATAGGTGAGAAGTACAGAAAATGTTACTAGGAAGGCAGTCCTATCTGTGTGCATGGTCCCTGTCCTTGTCATGTTAGGTACTGAGGACAGAAATGTGAAGACTGGCCTGCTGAGCTGGGATCATTCTACCCTGAAAACAATGCCAGGCCTCCAGAGAGGCAGTGGTTTGCTCATTGCTCTGTCAGAGGTGGAGGTCATTCCGGTTTGATGGTAACTGTTTTGAACGAGAGGCTGTTTTTAAAACACAAATGCACACCCACACACATACCCCTACCTGCTTTCCAAGAACACAACCAACACATGGTCAGGAGGAGCCACAGGAATTAAGGCTAATCATCTGGAAAATTCAGTAATAGAACAATAAACATTTATGGATTATTTATGTGTGCCAAACACTATACCAGACTCTTTGCGTATACTATCTCATTTAATCCTCAGAACAGCTTAATGAGATTACTTTCTAATCACCAGTTTGCCAGTGCAGAAATTGAGCTGCTTCGGGCATGCTAAATAAATGTATTTTAATAACATTTTAAAATATTTGTTACGTTCAACTGTTCTTTCCACAGAACCAAGTTTCTGACACATTGCAGAACTCCTTAAATGTATGGTGAATTAATGAATGAATGAAATAGCAGTTTATGGGACAGTTTCACGTTGTTTTCCCAGACTTTTTCAGTGTCAGCAGCCCTTACTGTGTTGTTTTTTTTTTTCCTGTGCAAGGACAGCACTCTAACCATGTTGGCCTTCTATGCTTTAGCTTCCTAGCATAAACCCTAGTGCCTCTTCTGGAAGTGAAACCACCTTCTCAGGCGGAGGAGGAACTGCAGCAGTAACATCAGAGACCGACCATGTTCCGAAAGCCGACAGCACTGATATCAGATCTGATGACTCTCTGAAAGCAGAGAGTTCAGCTTCAAATAGCAATAGTGAGCTAAAAGCCATCAGGCCCCCTTGCCCCGACACAGCTCCCCCCTCTTCTGCCCTTCATTGGTTGGCAGATTTAGCAACTCAGAAGGCTAAAGAGGAAACAAAAGGTGAGATAAACACAAGCCTTTGCCCTGCCAGCGGGTGGAACACTTGAGTTATTCAGGGATTCTTCAGACTCGCACATTACCATCCACATTTACAAAGCGTGCTGCTTGCATTCTCTTGCTAATCACATAAAATGAGGGAATCTCCTTCATTTTCTTTCTAGAAGTGGAGCTTTTTTTAAAAAGCACATGCCTGGGCTCTACCCCAGACCTCTTCAGTCAGAATCAATCATAGAGTTTTAATAAGCTTCCAGGTGGTTCCGTTATGCAGCCAGGTTTTCAGTGGGCACAAAGTCACCTGGGGAATTGTTAAAAATGCAGATTCCTATGCCTCACCAGAACTATTAAGTGACAACCTCTTAAAGGACTATCAAGAATCTCCATTTCTTATGATCACTCCAGGTGATTCCACTACAGGTCTTCTGAAGAACCCCTTGTAAAGACACTGTCTTAGCAAGTGAAGGAGATGAAAGATGGATGGGAACAAGAGAAAGTTTGAAATTCAGATCTGGGAAAAGAAGAAAGTAGTAGGAGAGCTTCTCCTTGGCCATGATCCTGCTGTAGTCATACCTGGTCAGGCTTGGTCCATACGAAACTATATGTAGTTTGGGGGGCAGGAGTGGGGAAAATCTGCTCCTTCCCACTTGGCTGATTTTTAGGAGTCAGTTGCCTGTTGGATGTTCCTTATCATGCCTAATACTCTTCCCGGTTATGTCCTTACAGAAGCAGGGTCCCTGAGGTCGGTGCTCAGTAAAGAGTCTCATTCACCCTTTGGGCTGGACTCGTTCAACTCCACTGCAAAGGTCTCTCCGTTGACTCCAAAGCTTTTCAACAGTCTGTTACTGGGTCCCACTGCCTCTAACAACAAAACTGAGGGCTCTAGCCTTCGAGACCTCCTTCACTCTGGGCCTGGAAAGCTTCCTCAAACCCCCTTGGACACAGGCATACCCTTCCCCCCCGTCTTCTCTACATCCTCAGCAGTAAGTGTCCTTTCTACAACTCTAGCCTTTTCCAGTGAAGAGCCATTGGAGATCTGATAACTGGGTTAGAGTATGTTTGGGTGACTTGTATTCTCTACGTTGTCTGTCCAGTTAACAAGATCTTTCTTTACATTTGAGTTTGGGGAATGTTTGAGATCCTTTTAAATCATGAAAATTTTTTGCCCTGTCAAGAAGTTAGTAAAATTGAGACAAATTTTCACTCAGCAGAAATAACTATTTTCTTGACAATAATGGGCATTATTTTTTTTTTTTTTAACCTAGGCAGTACATCCATGTTATCTTCTCTTGGGTATCTAATAGATACCTCAAACCATGTAACCATGTAACACATGTAAGACCACATTCTTGCCTCATCTTCTACCCATAAGCCTGCTTCTCCCTTAGTTTCCTCTCTTGGTAATGGGCATTTGCATTCTTCCATTGCTTGGCCAAAATCTTGGAGTCATTCAGGACTCCCATCTCTCACATTTCATATCTAATCTGTCAGCACATTCTTTCAGATTGATCTTTTTTTTTTTTTTTAAGATTTATTTATTTGACAGAGATCACAAGTAGGCAGAGAGGCAGAAAGAGAGAGAGGAGGAAGCAGGCTCCCTGCTGAGCAGAGAGCCCAATGCAGGACTTGATCCCAGGACCCCGAGATCATGACCTGAGCTGAAGGCAGAGGCTTTAATCCACTGAGCCACCCAGGTGCCTCTCAGTTTGATCTTTAAAATGTATTCAGAGTCCACTTATTTCTCATTGGCTCCACCATTTCCTATCTGGTCTGAGCCAGCATCCTCTCTTTCCTGCGTATTTGGAGTAAACTTCTTACAGGTCCCCTTTATTTCTTCCCTTTTCCACTCTATATAGTCTGTTGTCAACACAGCAACTAGAGTGATTCTTTTAAAATATAAGTGATCTCCTAGCCATGATTTATGTCAGTTCTGCCTAAACTCCTTCAGGGGCTATACTCCTAGTATAGGGGCTATACTCCTAGTATAAGCAGAGTTCTTTCTGTGGATGGTAAGGCTCCAGCCCTGTCTGTGCATCTTGCCTACATTTCTCTGACTTCAGCTACCACTCTGCTTGTGCAAGCTGCTCTAACCACACCCACTTTCGTATTCTTTGAATGTGACCGGCAGGCTTCTTCTTCAGAGCCTTTGCATTTGTCCTTCTACCTGGAATAAACTTTCCCATGTAACCACAGGCTTGCTTCATCACTTTTGTCTCCTCCCTCCTGAAATGTCACATCCTGTAAGCCTTCTTAAATCACCCTTTTTAACTGACTGTAGTACCCAGACGTACCCCTTTAAAACACCCTTTCTAAAGTCCATCACACTCCCATCCTCCATAACTGTTTTCCCTGCATTTGATATTCCATAGCATTCACTACCGTGTTTAATTTCTTTTCTGTCTTACCTCTCCTTAAAGAATTTTTAACTGTTCTATTTACTTTTAAATCACTAGTGCCAGAGTTTGATACATAGTAGGTGTTTGGTAAGCATTTACTGAATGAAGGAATTCACAAGATAGAAATTTTTTTTTTTAAAGATTTTATTTATTTATTTGACAGAGAGAGAGAGAGAGATCACAAGTAGGCAGAGAGGCAGGCAGAGAGGGGGGAAGCCAAGAAGAGAGCCTGATTCGGGACTCAATCCCAGGACCCTGAGACCATGACCTGAGCTGGAAGCAGAGGCTTAACCCACTGAGCCACCCAGGTGCCCCACAAGATAGAAAATTTAAAAGATAGAGTGAGAAGTCTCCTTCCTGTCATTGTCTCCCCACCACCTGTTTTCCTTTCTGGAGGTCAGTCATGATCGTTTCAGGGGCTTTACTATATATATATATATAGTTTCTTCTCCCTCTTTTTACATACATATTCTACACCTTGCTCTTCTGCTTTCAGTCTGTATTATCTTTGAGATCATTTCAAGCAAGTACATAAACATGCTTGTCATTCTTTTTTGTGATTAATGGCTGAAATTCAATGAATTGTGGGTTGTTGAGCCCTGTATGATGTGAATATTTTTTCTCTTTTAGATTCATGAATTTTTAAAAAGTCACTTTTGGCTCTGTTTTATTTGTACATGCTCTGTCAGTTCTCCTTTTCCTTTTTTAGTTTTCCCAGGAAGTTACAAGATTACATGTACTCTGTACAGATAATGATTAGTGATATTTCAGGCATAGGAATATCAGGTGTACAAAAGCCCTCTGAGATGGGTGACTTGGTGGCTCAGTGGGTTAAGCCTCTGCCTTCAGCTCGGGTCATGATCTCGGGGTTCTGGGATCGAGCCCGGTATCAGGCTTCCTGCTCTGCAGGGAGCCTGCTTCCCAGAATTGGGATTAGGAGACTTCTTTCAGAATATAAATTTCCAGTTGAATACTTTGGTTTACCCCTCTATTGGGGTATACTCCCTAGTTAAAAAAAGCACTGCCTTGATAAGTCACTTTATTACTTAACTGAGGTATTGTATCCCTTGGGCATGCTGGCGAGAAAAAACATTTATAACCTTCAAAGTCAATGATCTTTTCCACTCAGCTACAGTATTTTATGATCCCTGTGGTCTCCATGCAAATCCTTAATACCAGGCTGGATACCAGAGATATTTCTTAGATCTCCAGTCTCCTGAGGCAGAGGGATCTTTCTGTACTTTTATAAACGTAAAGCACAATCTGAAGGACAGGAAGATTTAAGATCTTAACAGACCCCACCCTTCAATTACAAAAGGCGTTTCAGTAAGTTTTGTGAAACTTAATGAGGTAAATCAGAACTCCTTCTTGTGAAGACAACTGGGAGACAGTTTTGTGAATGCTCTTCCATGGCACCTCAGACTTACCCAATGGAATTGTGTGTGGCAGGGAGTGAAGAACAAGGCCAGCCTACCCAACTTCCTTGACCACATCATTGCCTCAGTGGTAGAAAATAAGAAAACCTCAGATGCTGCAAAGCGGGCCTGTAACTTGACTGATACCCAAAAGGAAGTGAAGGAGATGGTGATGGGGTTAAATGTGCTGGACCCCCATACCTCTCACTCCTGGCTCTGTGATGGCAGACTTCTGTGTCTTCATGACCCCAGCAACAAAAATAATTGGAAGATCTTCCGGGAGTGTTGGAAGCAAGGCCAGGTAAGTAAGAAATAAGCAGTTAGCCAGGCCGGTTGCTTATCCACCACAGCTGCCAGGGCAGTTTCAGTTCTGTCTGGGAGCCTTTTTGCCAGGGAGAGTAAGACATAGTAAGTTCGTTTTAGACAGCCTTGCTACTTCAGGTTTTCTTGGATTTAAAAAAAAATCAGAAGATTCCTAAACATATATCGTGTTTCCTTATATTTCTATAATTCTATATAGTATGTAGCTCTGTGTTCTTAAAAGGGCAGTTGAAATTTCTGTGAAGTGGTGACTGCCATTAATGACACCTTTAGAGGAAAATCCTTAAGTGTGACATAGGGGTAAGGCAAAGGTGGGTGGAAGTGAGTGGTACTTTTCTAGGTAAATATTTCAAGGCCACACAAATTTGAAGGATAGTGTGATAACACTTAGTAATTTTTATACTTCAGCAGGTGCTTGAGAAAGGGGGAGGTTATGGAATTGTCTGGATAGTTTTTCATTCTAGATGTGAGGAAGTATTCTCAAAGGTGGATTTGTCAGCTTTTTGTTCTTTCACCCCAGCATAGTAGTAGATACCAGAACAACAGAAGTGATTTCTGTGGCCTGCCTCCCAGGGTGAGAATCGAGAATAATGATAGAGTAGAAGTAGTCTCCATTTCCTGCAACTGCCGTGTTCAAATCTTTAGATTCTGAAACTGGGAAAGAACAGTAAATCATGGTAAAGAAGACTACGTTGTCCCAAGAAACCTCCTATTCTGTCCCTTAGCCCTGAGCTAAATGTATTCCTAAATGGTTCTGATTGGGATATTTTTGTTTCCACAGCCAGTGCTGGTTTCAGGGGTACATAAAAAGCTCAAGTCTGAACTCTGGAAGCCAGAAGCCTTTAGCCAGGAATTTGGGGACCAGGATGTGGACTTGGTGAACTGCAGGAATTGTGCTATAATTTCTGATGTGAAAGTTCGGGATTTCTGGGATGGCTTCGAGATCATATGCAGTAAGTAGCTTTGGTAATGGCTGACTGAGCATCTATACACCCATCACTACCCCTGGACTCAAAATAAATCTTCTTGGCATGTGGCAGTGGGTTGGGGGGGGAGGTTGGTGGAACACACATTCTGTCCTGGTGCCAACCAGGCAGCTCTCATGGCAATCACATGGCTCCCAGAGCACACCTGGGCATAAGCCCATGCTCCCTTGGGTTGTGTGGAGCACTTCACTGAGGAATAGGGTGGAATCCCTGTGAGATGGAAAAAAATATAGCATGTACAAAGCAGTAGGTGAGGAAAACAAAGCCCACGTAGTCCATTATGACAGGTTACAAGTCTGCAAATAAGAAGTTAAAACTTTTGGTCACTGAAAAAATCAGGCAGCAGCCAAACTAGCAGCTTATGGGAGTGCTTTCTATCTTCCAGAGCGATTAAGATCGGAAGATGGGCAGCCAATGGTGCTTAAACTCAAGGACTGGCCTCCTGGGGAAGATTTTCGGGACATGATGCCAACAAGGTTAGTACACCACAGTGGGTCATCTTGAGACACTGGCCTTGCTGGAGCGTCTCAAAGTAATTATAGAAAAGGGGACTTTGTGCTTTTTTCCCCCGTAACAAGTTAAGTCATCTTTCCTGATCTTTTGTAGGTTTGAAGATCTAATGGAGAACCTTCCCTTGCCAGAGTATACCAAACGAGATGGCAGGCTCAATCTGGCTTCTAGGCTACCCAGCTACTTTGTAAGGCCGGATCTGGGCCCCAAGATGTACAATGCCTACGGTATGAGGGAGAAGCATATTGCCCTTTTTGGACACTGCCATTCCCCCGTTTCACCTATAGAGGGAGATATTTAGGCAGGGTCATTTGTAGAGCTAATGGAGGGCAAAGTGACAGATGATAGAAAAGTTAAGTGTCCAGGATGATTTGGGGTTTTGTTTGTATTATTTTGTTTTGTTTTAGAGGGGGAGGGACACAGGGAAAGGGAAAGAGAGAATCTTAAGCAGGTTCCACGCCCAGCATTGAGTCTGTCACAGGGCTTGATTTCATGCCCCTGAGATCATGACCTGAGCCGAAATCGGGAGTCTGTTGCTTAACCAACTAAATAAACCATCCAGGCGACCGTGTGCGTGGGCGCTGTTTTTTTTTTTTCCTTTATTTTTTAATTAATTAATTTATTTATTTTTAAGAAGATAGATTGATTGATTTTAGAGAGAACATGAGCAGGGCAAGGTACAGAGGGGAAGGGGAGGGAGGGGGAAAAAATCTCAAGCAGAATCCATTCTGAGCATGGAACTTGACCCAGACTGGATCTCACAACCCTGAGATTATGACCTGAGCTGAATCCAAGAGTTGGACATTTAGCTGACTGTGCCACCCAGGCGCCCCTATTTGTTGCTTTTTTGTTTGTTTTATGAGTTTATTTATTTGTTTGAGAGAGACAGAGATAGAGCATGGTTGGGGGGCATGGGAGGGGAGGAGGCAGAGGGAGAGGGAGAAGCAGATTCCCCACTGAGCTGGGAGCCTGACTTGGGGCTCAATCCCAGGATCCTGAGATTGTGACCTGAGCTAAAGGCAGATGCTTGACCAACTGAGCCACCCAGGTTCTTCTCTCTTTTCTTTCCTTTCCTTTCTTTTTTTTAATTTTAATTTTTATTTATTTTTAAGATTTATTTATTTGAGCGAGAGAGAGTCAGTGAGAGCACAAGTAGGGAGGAGAGGGAGAGGCCAGCTCCCTGCTGAGCAGGGAGTCCAGTGTGGGGCTTTATCCCACATGATCATGGGATCATGACCTGAGCTGAAGGCAGACACTTAACTGACTGAGCCACCCAGGCGCCCCTTTTTCTTTTCTTTTCTCTTTTCTTTAAGATTTTACTTATTGTTTGTTTATTTTAAAGATTTTTTTACTTTGAGGTAATCTTTACACTCGTCATGGGGCTAACCTTAAAACCCTGAGATCAGGAGTCACATGCTCTTATCAGCTGAGGCAGCCAGGCCCCCAGGATGGTTTTGGATGTGTTTGCCACATCTTTTGTCATATTGTCATACTGATTTGTCAATACGATTTTGTCATATTGATTTATGTCACATCTATAACTTGTCTATCTCCAATACTTGGAAAGTTTCCTATCAAATATTCTGAGCAAGAAGACATGATTCTTAGTTTTTAAGAGACTTGAGAAAAAGAAACAGTGAAGAGATCTGAGTACCATGCTACCCGGCCTGCTCTTTGTGGAGTCAGAGTAGGGCCATAAATCACTGTGAAAGCCAAGCTTCTACTGAATGTCAGTAAAGCCCATATCAGTTTTGCTTTTTAAGGAGAGATTGTTGTGGGGGGGGGGGTGAATCAGTTCAGTGCCCAAATATAATGATAGTGTCAGCCGAGCTAGAAATCAATCTTAAAACACTAAAAAAGAGATGAAAAGAATGATTTCTTAATAAACAGATAGACTTCACTCTCCCACTGTTGCCCATTTAAGAACATCTTTGAGTATGTTTGCACTTGTAGGGTCTCTGGATTTTTCACAATATTGCCCTTTCACCCTTCATATCCTCCTTTTCTCTCAGGCTTGATAACTGCGGAAGATAGAAGAGTTGGCACAACAAACCTTCATTTAGATGTGTCTGATGCAGTTAATGTGATGGTGTATGTTGGGATCCCCATCGGGGAGGGTGCCCATGATGAAGGTATGATTTTTAGAAGCCATACTTCAGAATGGTGAGGCTTGGCCTCAGGAGTAGAATCGGAGTCTTCCTCCTCACTTAGAGCCAGTGGTTTCTTCTTAACTCTCTTCAAGACTTGATGCATAGTAGGCACCCAGTGGATGTTGCTAGATGAAAGGAAGTTCTAGGAGAGAGGAGTGGTACTTGTGTATCTTTGACCAGTCATCCTTTTTATGGGAATGCTCCCTTTTCCACTAAGTGTATAGGATCAGAAAGATGAAGGAAGGAGGAAGGATCACCTGGCTCACTTGGTCCATCAGCCAGATCACCTGTGAGGTGAGAGATGATAAGGCCAGCTCACGGCACAGAATTGAAGCATCACAGTGATATTTTGCTGCATTTGCACTCCCTCCATCTCAGTGTAAATATGTGTTAATTATGGACATTTTAGAAGACAGAAAATTGTAAAGAAAAATAAGTTAACTCAGAGTCTCACGATTCAGGGATTATCAGTGTCAATCATTATGGTACATTTGCTGCCATAATTTTGCTTTTAATGCTACACACCTGCAGATCTTTCCATGATATTGTCCTTTAAGGGATTAAAGTAGACAAGCATTAGAAGCCGACCCTCTTAACTTGTCAGAGATGCTTTACATTTCATGGCTTTAAATCCATAGAACCCTTGAGTTTGAAGAGGTCTTGAGGAAGTGTATGGAGTCTGTATAAACAGTGGGAAACGACCTGAAATTTGAACATAAGATGTGGCTACACAGTTTGAGCAGGAAATAGTTTTAAAAGAAAACCCTACCCCCCAAAATGCTGAGTTTCTCTTAAGTAAAGAAGATTTAGGGTTGTTCTTCCTGTGTATGGGAAGCTTAGACAAATTTGAGTTTTGATTCTTTGATTCGACTTTATATTACTCCAGAGAGATTGAGAATTGTAGAGACTAAACTTCTTTGAGTTGGACATTTCACTTGACTCAGGTACTGAAATAGCTGGTTACACTGAAAAGTAATTTTGCTGTTTTCAGAGGTACTCAAGACCATTGATGAGGGGGATGCTGATGAGGTGACAAAGCAGAGAATTCATGATGGAAAGGAGAAGCCTGGTGCTTTGTGGCACATCTATGCAGCCAAGGATGCAGAAAAGATCCGGGAATTGCTTCGAAAGGTATGCCCCTGGGTTGGCTCCCAGCTCCCAGATTAAGGGTCTGGGATGCTGCTGACACAGCCTGCTTTGGGTTTCTCCTGTGCAGTCTCTTGGCTTTAAAGACCTGTACCTTTTGTCAAAATTCCCTGAAGGTGGGGTGCCTGGGTGGCTCAGTTGGTTAAGCAACTGCCTTTGGCTCAGGTCGTGATCCCGGAGTTCCGGGATCGAGTCCCACATCAGGCTTACAGCTCTCTGGGGAGTCTGTTTCTCTCTCTGACCTTCTCCCCTCTCATGTTTCTCTCACTTTCTCTCTCTCTCTCTCTCAAATAAATAAATAAACTCTTTAAAAAAAATCCTCTTTTAAAAAAAAAAAATTCCCTGATGGTGTGAATCCACACCTGGAGGATGCTGAAGAGAACAAAGCAGAAGATTTGGCCCACTAAGGACATTGCCTCTATACGTGGCATTTATGCTGTTAGTAATATTTATGTATTGATTTTTCCATCTGTGGGTTTGGTTATGGCTTCAGGTTGGAGAAGAGCAAGGCCAAGAGAATCCCCCTGATCACGACCCAATTCATGACCAAAGTTGGTACCTGGACCAGACCCTCCGTAAGCGACTCTATGAAGAGTATGGTGTGCAAGGCTGGGCCATTGTTCAGTTCCTGGGAGATGCTGTCTTCATACCTGCTGGAGCCCCACACCAGGTGGGTTTCACTTGGTTCCATGGGCTTCTGTATTTCTGATTTTCTTAGTAATCTAGCAAGAGGTATAAGTGGCTGGATTGGACTGGCTGTTCTTTTTTCTTTTTTTTTTTTTTTTTTTTTTTTTCATTGTGTTCAGTTAGCCACCATATAGTACATCATCAGTTTTGATATATAGAGTTCAGCAGTTATTAGTTGCGTATAACATCCAGTGCTCATCATAACACGTGCCCTCCTTAATACCCGTCACCTCGCTACCCCGTCCTCCTACCCCTTCCCTACTGAAGGACTGGCTGTTCTTAAACTGCAGCTTATTTTTTGCTTTTTAGTTTCCTTCTGTGTAATTTTAAATGCACATTTAAAATTTTTTTGAAGAAGGGAGACCATTTTTTAAAAAGTGAAAGTCGCAGCTCACCTCCCTGTGCCATACCCCTGTTCAGTCCCTTCATCCTGCCTTCTCCAGAGGTAGCCGGTGGTTAACAGTTCGGTGTGTATTTCTCCAGATCCTTTTCTGTACAATTACCAACATTTTCATGTATAAATTTATACTTGCAATTTTTCTGCATTTGTTTTTATGAAAATGGAATTTTGGAAGTATTTCTCAAGTTTGGGATTTTTTTGTTTGTTTTTTAAACCATATCATAGACATTTTCCAGGTGTTGCTGACTCTCTGTGGCTCTTCTCCCTCTGTACTTCTCTCCTCCCAGGTACACAATCTATACAGTTGCATAAAAGTAGCAGAAGACTTTGTATCTCCAGAACATGTAAAGCACTGTTTCCGCCTGACACAGGAATTCAGGCATCTCTCTAACACTCATACAAACCATGAGGATAAACTGCAGGTAAATAACTCCTCCATCACCCCTCCCCCCCACCCCTCGTTCTGTCTCCTCATCTCCTACTTGGCTACATATGAAAAACGCACATTCTACATCAGTCCTCGTCACATTTTGCTTTTAGAGAATACTCATCTTTCAACATAATCATTTCTGCCATCACCTTCTCTTTCTCTCCCACCGGGAGATAGAGTATTTAGTGCTGATAACTGACTGGATTTGACTTTTCCAGTCAGGTGGCAAAAGCACTGTGGCAGTGTGTTACAAGCATGTTTCCAAGAAGGGCACCTCCCCAGAGCTGCTTCTCACAGTACGTTTTGGTGCAGATTCAATTCCCTAAAGCCCCACTAGGACTGCAGTTCATGTCCCTGAGATCTACTGGGTGCTGCAGTGGCATTTAAAGAAAAGAATAAGGAAGCAAGATTCCCCGGGCAGATGTGCAGTCTTTCCACAACCGGCCAGTAGATTCAGTCACCTTCAACCCTGATCTGATCTTTTTTGCTATTCCTTTTTTAAAATTTTAGACCATTTCAGCCATAAAAGTTGTTAGACAAAGTCCGTTCACGTGGATGGAGTAGGTAACACTGATCCTATAGATAAAATGCATATGTATTTCAGACATCACTGCCATCAGGTCTACTTGGGATGTGTCACCTCCAGCACTCCCAGTCCTCTGTCACTGCTTAATTTTTTTCTGTAGTATTTTTCACTAACATTATGCATTTTATCTGTTTGTTTCTATCCCTACTAGAATGTAAGCTATTTAAGCTCCATGAAGGTAGGGATTTTACTGTTTTATTCACTGCTTTTCCCTAGCACAATATCTGATACATACTAGGTACACAGTAAATATTTATTGAATTAGTACAAAAATTTAATAAAGAATAGCAAAAGGGGGCTGTGTGCCCATCACTCAGGTGAAGAATTAAAGCATCCTATACATACAGACAAACAATATTAACACACAGAACAACTGCATTATTGAAGGTTCCGTGTACCCTTCCCCATCCTGTCTCCTTACTTTCCCTCCACAGAAATCATCACTATCTTGGTTTAAAACTCTTTTCAGCATGTTACTTAGTGACTGTTCTTCCTGCTTGATGTGTAGATTGTGTTCCTCTTAGACAATTAGAAAATACGTACAAGCACAAAGGGAAAAAATTTCCAATAATCTGACCTGCCCACTGTTGTTTTAGTGCATTCCTGTTAGTTCTAGGACCTTAGGCAAGGTTCTTGACCACCAGACCTTGGTTTCCTCAGTTTCTCATGGGTAAAAATGGGGATATAGTAGAATCGACCTCATAAGATGTGGAAAGGATGAAATGAAAGTCCATGTAAAGAGCTTACCGGTAGGGTGCCCGGGTGGCACAGTGGGTTAAGCCTCTACCTTTGGCTCAGGTCATGATCTCAGGGTCCTGGATCGAGTCCCACACCAGGCTCTCTGCTCAGCTCAGAGCCTGCTTTCCCCTCTCTCTTTCTCTGCCTGCCTCTCTGCCTACTTGTGATCTCTCTCTGTCAAATAAATAAATAAAATCTTAAAAAGAAAAAAAAAAAAAAAAGCTTATCGGTAGTGCCCAGCACTTAACTAAGCACTTAGATGAAAGTGATTATATAGCCTTTCAGTTGGATTCATCATTCTTTTTTGATTATAGACCTTCTAGCCTCTGTGATTTGTTTTTTTTTTGTTTGTTTGTTTGTTTTTTGCCTCTGTGATTTGTGAATCCTCTTTGGAATTGATTTGGAAAGTATGCGGTGCTCGCTGACAGATTTCCTCATTAATTAGTCTTTATAGGCTGTGTAAAACATATGCTTTTGTGGGGCTCCAGCGTGGCTCAGTCAGTTCAGCGTCTGCCTTCGGCTTAGGTCATGATCCCAGGGGCCTGAGATCGAGCTCCTTGCTCACTAGGGACTCTGCTTCTCCCTCTCCCTCTGCCTGCTGCTTCCCCAGCTTGTGCTCTCGAGAGCATGTGCACGCTCTCTCTCTCTTTGTCAAATAAATAAATAAAATACTTAACAAAAACACACAACATACATTTTTGTTTGAGAATATAATATGGGGCCACCATGAACTGACTGCTGATTGCTCTCTCCAGGTGAAGAACATCATTTATCACGCAGTGAAAGATGCTGTTGGCACCCTCAAGGCTCATGAATCCAAATTGGCAAGGTCATAGGCACGGAGAAACTCCAGACTCCCCTGTGAAGCAGGTCTTTCACTCACAACACATACAGGGAACGGCGGGGCTTCTCTGCTGGAGCAGAGGCCCTTCACTTGGAGCCAGTGTGGTCAGTATTAACAAACTCTCCAGCCACTCTTTTCTACGCTGCCTCAACACTGAAGGTTGACACAGGAAAGTCGCACTGTTCACACACACAGTTTCAGACTCCAAGCCAAGGGTGCCGCATCCCCATCCTGTGGTCTTTTGGGACTCTGAATTGCCTGAACATTGCTGGGCTTTCCTGCACATTCTCGTGACTTGAGATCCATGGAAACTGGGAATGTGGGCACACCTTTCTTTTCTTTTTTCTCTCGTGCCTAGTGAAGTGGGAATGTGTTTGGAGGTAGGGGGAATCCCATAACTGGTACAAGTAGGGGCTAACTGCTTAAACATGCCCGGTGGAAGCCTGACAGTGTCTTTGCACGTGACCTCTGATATAGCCCATCCCAGGAGACGGGGTGAAGCCATTCCCCACAATCTCTCCCATGAACACTGGAGTCTTACAGGACCCAGGGAGAATCCACTGCTTTTCCCAGGAGGCTCCAGGATTAGGAAATGTGTGTATTTAGTGAAAAATAGGTTTGTAGTGAAATAGTTACTATTTCATGAAAGTAGATATTTTTAGAATTTTTGAAATACCACAGTTGTTTTCCTGGATTATGAGGAAAGGCACATTACATTTAGTCTTCCTTTCGATAAAAATCTTTGAAAAAATATGATTTTTAGAAATCAGCTGCCCATTATAGCACAAAATCAGCCAAAGCAGAATTTAAAAGAATTGGCTTTTTAGAATTCTTTTAGTTTTCTTTCCCTCCCATCTCAGTCATATCTTGAGGGAACAGCCAGTTGAGAAAGAACTTTGTCGTGTCTGAGCTGTGGTGTGTTTTACAAATATGCACACTCATGACACAGGAACCATTTTCACCTATTACCAGCGTTCCCTTGGGACTCCTCTTACACTTCCAAATGCGAAGGAAAGTTTGATTTCCTACATGAGGCTTTTGGTTTTTGGGTTTTTTGTCCAGAAATATTTTAAGCAAAACTTTCCAACTCTGTGGAGTTTTATTAAGAATTTATTTGAAAATTATGGAATTCATTGGCCCATAGATACATTGGAAAATGTATCTATCTTCTTTCCAGCTGTACTGTAGTGCCCTGCAGGCTTGTTTATATGTTCACAGTTACTTTTTTTTTTTTTTTTAATAAAAGTCATTTACTGTAGAATACTTTTAATTTCACTTTCTGTATTTTAATTTTGTTGAAGGGCTGATTGGGATTTCCATGTTCTTATTAAAAATCTAACAAATCTGTTTGGAGTGGACTAAATTCTTCCTGTGTCAGCCATTCTAAAAAGTGAAGGCAGGTTGAATGTGGGTTGAAGATGGAGGATGGTTCATTTTCATATCTTCATTACATGCTGCTTCCGATTACCCTTTGCTTCCTGAATTTGAGCCTTTTTGAGAGCAGAAAGTGCCAGGTCATTGTGGTCTGTGGGCTTGGGGGTGGGGGTGAAGGGAAAAGGTCACTTGAGTTAGAAGGTGGGAGAAAAGATGGTTTTTCCACAGTTTATGCTGTGTGAATGGAATGGGAAAGGTGAGGTCTTGATCTTCCTGCAGCAGTCAGGAGTGAGGGGGATGGGGGATGGCATGAGCAAGGTTTTGGGCAATTAGTAACAGGGTTCCTCAAAGCAGGAGGCCTGGCTGCCCACATAGGAAACTTGTGGCTCTGGATCCACCTCAGAGTTGTTGGGAAAAGACCCAAATGGGGTTTGTGGTTTTTTGTTTTTTGTTTTTTTTTTTAATCGAGCAGTAACTAAAATGGCTTGAGGAGTGAAGACAGACTACATTCCCATTAGAAAAGGCCTTTTGAAAAGGAAGTTGTAAAGAATAGCAAGAGGGGTCATCAGAGGCTGCTTCTCCAGACCCTGTTGGAAAACATCTTCCAAAGTGTTTGAGCCTGGAAATACAATTATCAGGGTGGAAATAGACCATTGTGTGGTTCAAGGATACTGGGTTTGAATAGCACCATAACTGAAATACAGAACTCTGAGCATGTCCTTTCAGCCTGGGTGGGCACGGGTCGAGGCTGTGATCACCAGAAGACTTACACCTCCACTTAAAGAAAGAACCTTTGAAATGGGACAGGAAAGGAAAGCTTTGGGGAGAAAAGGGGGTTGCAGAGGTTGGAGCTTTGTTGCTTTGGTGAAAATCAGGAGGCGGGCTAGCCTACATTCTGGATATAAATGTCTTCAGAATTAGGGCATACACTGCTGCCAGCGTTTGCTGATGGGGGTGGAACTGGAGCTCCTGGATCCATCTCCAACCTAGACATCAGGCCTCCAGCCCTTCTGTTTAAAGAGGGTCTGTCCTGGGGTATTACCCTTGAGAGCATGGGCTCATTACCCTGCAAAGCTGAGCAAATGACAACCTAAAAAAAGCAGATGGGGGGGTTCCTTCTCCAACTGGGGTGATTGGTGATGGCCAAGAAGGGGTAAGGTGGACAGGTGCAGCCATACTTGACTTCAGGAGTTGCTTGGGCGGGTGTCTTCACAGGGCCTGTAATGGGGGAGGACAGTTTGCTGGTCAGCAGTTGGGAGAAGTGGCCTGACTAAAGTAGATTTTATGGGTTACATCTTAGCAGCATGACTTAGTGGTTTTGTGACCTTGGCAAATTACTGAACTTCCCTAAGCATCCCATTTCCTTATCTTCAAAATGAGGATAATTCTAACCTCTGTCATGTGGAATGATAGGATTCCGTGAAATAATGCGGGTAAAGCTCTTACCTCAGGGCCTGGCCGTTAGTAAGCACTCAATAAGTCATTCCTCCGGGGATGTTTAAGCCTTTTCAGCCTGGTGTGGTCAAGGCAGGAGGGCTAGGATCTGGGGATTAGGATGTCAGGATGGAACCTGAAGGCCTGTGAGGACCTCAAACCAGGGCTTGGAATCCAAGAAAGAGGAACAAGCGTTTAGAGGACGGCAGGGTGCTGAGGGTCAAAGGCGCATGCCCGGTGGTAGCAGGTGCAGGGGGGCGCGCTGCCGCCGCCGCCACCGCCGCCGGGGCCTCCCCTTTAAGAGCCGCCACCGCCCACCGCCCGCCGCTGCGGCAGGGACCTCCCCTTTAACCGCGGCTGCTCGGCGCTCCGCGGCCCCCGCGGCGGCTGCTGCTGCTGCTGCGGCTGCGGCTGCTGCTGCTACTGCGGCTCCTGCTGTCGCCGCTGCCACCACCCGACCTCCGGCACCTGCATCCTCGGCCCGGGCGGGTTCCCCCGGCCCTCGCCCCGCCCGGCTCCGCCATGGTGTCCTGGATCATCTCCCGCCTGGTGGTGTGAGTGCGGCGGGGCGCGGCTGGCTGGGAGGGGGAGGGGGAATAAGGTTGTGGGGTGAGGGGTGTGTTGAAGCCCTGGATGGACCGCTCCGTGGCTTCATACAACAGTCACCTAAGGCACATCGTCCCTATTTGGGGTCCCCGGAGACAAGACATGGGGTGTAGGACCTAGGACCGGTGCGGGGCATATTAGAGAAGCCATAGCACGCCCGGCTTCTCATCCCTTTATTTTTAATTTTCTTGCTCCTTTGCCCTCCCTCATCCTAGGGCTGGGCAGCGTGGCCTGATTTATGAAGGGAGGTGGCATATCCCCTCCCCCACCTAGCAGATGTCCGCTGAGGGGCAACTCAGACCTGGGCCCTCATCCCCCTGCGGGGAGAGAGCTAATGGCAGAGTGGAGAGCAAAGCAAGGCCTCTTCATTCCATAGCTTGGGGCCATAGCTAGCAGCCTTGGCCTCTACCCTCTCCACTATCAGGACACTGGAGATGAGAGCACTTGCGCTAGAATCCCCCCAGGGAGGACGTCTGGGTATTGGGAAGCAGAGATCCCGGGAGGACAAAGTGTGGGAGGGAACCGGGAGAGGATATGTGTGTTCAGCCTGGATTTGTGAAAGGCACAGAGAGGACTGCGTTAGGTGGCCTTCATTCCAGGCCAGCCACAGTGTGGAGCTACGTCCCTGCCTCCTCCCCCGGGCCCCAGGAGGGAAGGCTGCTCCCACACCCCACACTTTGTCCTTGTGGAGTCCACCCCCACCCCATCTCCACAGGTCAGTTCGGAAATGTCCTGTTCTATGAGGCAGGTTCCTGTGAGAACAGGCATTACCCACACATTGTCAAGGAGCTGGACCTGGGAGGGGCTCTGCCTGGGCCTCAGCTAACCCTGTCCCGGCTCAGGACCCTGTCCCTCAGCCTCCACTGTGAGGGACTGACAGCCCAGGGTTCCCTCCCTCTTGCCTTCTTCCCACTCAGTTCTGTTAGATGCTTGTGTTCTGGCTCCCTCTAGACCTACCAGGATCTCCCTTCTTCCTCCCCCATCCCACCCCAGAGGGAATCTTGGGCCTTGTGCCTCCCTGTGGCCTTCAGAGTGGCTGCTTCTCTCTTACCTGGATGAGCTCCCTGGGGCATCATTCCTCTTATTCCCTCACCTGTGCCCTTTATGTGGTCTCCAGTGGGGTCACTACCAGGTTGTACTCCAGCCAGTCTCCAGCCCAGCCCTCCCACTCCCTTGAGCTTGGTTCCAAGGCTGCTTACATGAGGTAATAAACCTTTTTGCCCCTCTAGGTCCTCCTGCCCACATAGAGGGCCCTGTTAGGCGGTATCACATTCCCTTACAGACCTGGCTCTTCCCAGCCTGGCTCTGAGACAGGGAAGTAGAGGTTAAGGGCAGATAGGTATGAGTGAGCACCATATCTGGAGAAGGAAGACACCTGTGGTGGTGACCGGACCCCCCACACACACTCTCCATGATATGTTTATGCATAACCAGCAATCATGGCTAAAGAGACCACATTGGACCCTCTGGCCTCTGGGTCTTTCTTCACTTAAGGGGTTGGAGAAGACCTGAACAATAAAGGGGAAAAGGCATCACCCTAACCATCCGGAGGCCTCTACACTTGTGTATTACCCAAGGCTGAGCTACTTTGACCATAACCACTGATCTGAATTCATCAGTCCAGCCAATGTGGCACTCTGGAGTTCTGTCCTTCTCCCCTTACCTACCCAGGGACTGACTGATGCAGAGCTGGGAGGGAGAGGCCACTGCTCTTGGCCGAGGGGACCAGTAACCCTGCCTGCCTCCCTAGGCTCATCTTTGGCACCTTGTACCCAGCCTATTCTTCCTACAAGGCCGTGAAGACAAAAAACGTGAAGGAATATGTGAGTTTGTGACACTTCATCTCCCATTCAACCCACATGGCAGAGATAGGGGAGGACCATGGGTCACATTACAGACAGGGTGATTTTGTACCAATGCCTCAGCACTAAGGAGACCCTGCTTCCAGAAGGTTCCTTTGTGTTCCTTTCCCCCAGGCCTGGTGGGATCCACAGGCAAAGTTGAGATCCTGAGTGTCCCTTCTCCACCACACCTCCAGCATAGTTGGCATCAGACAGGGGCTCCTGAGTGTTCCCCTGAGACCCCAGCTGACACTACCCTCTGTGCCTTCAGGTGAAATGGATGATGTACTGGATCGTCTTTGCCTTCTTCACCACGGCTGAGACGCTCACGGATATTGTGCTTTCCTGGTGAGGTCCAGCATCCCCACCCCTGCACCCCAAGGTCAGGGTTTAGACTACCCCACCAGCCAACCGAAGATTGAGAGCCGGGGTGGAGCCCCCCCACAGTCCCATGGGGTCCTGAATATCCACCCTCCCTGACATAGGCCTGGCTTGATAAGTAGAATAAGAGACAGAGCCCCCACCTTTCTTTCTGGTGGCAGCCAAAGCACCCCCCATAGAATGCAGGTTATAGTTTTGTAGGTCTCAGTTTCCCTGCTTGTAAAATAGGATTCAGTCTTGTAAAGTTCCAATGCTGGTATTTCAAAGCACTACTTACTAGACTGTGTTACGAGAGCACTTGGAGGACAGAGAATGTCTTAATTGCCTATATGTATATTCATAGCGGGAGCTCAAAAAATGTTTATTGGGTGAGCACATGCCTCTTGGAAGAGAGGACTAACAGCACAGAATATTGTAAGACAAAGAGAAGAGAGTTTTATGGAGAGGTAGAGGAAAAAAGATAACTGCCTTTGTAGATTGTAAGGACCAGTGGCCTTTGAGAAAAACAGTTTTAGCAGAAGTTGAGTGGGGTCAGATTAGGAAAGAATAATGGGTTAGAAATTGAGGACAGTGAGCATATATGCTTCTCGACACAAACAAAGCAAAAAGCTTTGTGAGGATGTAGGAGATGTGCAGGAGTCTGTGGCCTAAGGAAAAGGAGCCAGGGAATGGACAACAATCCTTAAAAGCAAGAGGCATGTCATGACAGCAAGGGACGGGAGTCTTCCTCATTAGGGGGGAGGTCAGGAAGACAAGGGTGTGAAGACCCAGGAGCAGACCCAGGACAGAGGAGTAGGAATCTTCTGTCAGAATAAGATGCCTGGAACTCTAAGAGTAAAGTGTGCAGAGAGCCACTGCCGGGGGTTGGGGGGGGTGGTTAATTCTTGGCGGGGGCACTTCTCACCAACCCCTTGGAGTCTCAGCTGAGCCTCCCATTCTCCTGGAGATGAGAAATGCCCAGTCACCCGAGCCACGTGGGGACCCCAGTGCACTAAGGGGTGAGGTCTAGCCAAGGTCTTGCAGGGGATCAGCTCACCCCCTGAGTCCCTATCCCAGGCTCTACCACTTGCCTCTCTCCCACCAACAGGTTCCCCTTCTACTTTGAGCTCAAGATCGCCTTTGTGATATGGCTGCTCTCCCCTTACACCAAGGGCTCCAGTGTGCTCTACCGCAAGTTCGTGCACCCTACACTGTCCAACAAGGAGAAGGTTTGCCCCCACTCTCAGCTGACTTCCTCACCTGCCCCAGGCCAAGGCAGCCCTAGTGCCTGTAGCTGTGTACATTTGTGGCTCTCCCTGTGGGTGCCCAGAACCTGAAGTGATCTGCCAGGGTCCTGGCCTCCTGGAGCAGGCTATGTGCCTTTGTCCGGGTGTGAACAAGGGCAGGGCAGGGCCTGGCCAGTGGGGCCCACCCCTCACCTCCCGCTCCTTCCCCTCCAACCCCTCAGGAGATCGACGAGTACATCACCCAGGCCCGAGACAAGAGCTATGAGACCATGATGAGGGTGGGCAAGAGGGGCCTGAACCTGGCTGCCAATGCCGCGGTCACAGCTGCTGCCAAGGTGAGATGGGGGCAGACCCAGGCTCCCAGGACTCCACCTTGCCTGTTTCATGCCCCTGGCCAAGCCCCTTTTTGTTTACCCTGTCCTTGGAGCTCTGCCAGCCCCGGACTGTGTGATTTCCACTCCCCAGGCCAGATTCCTCATCTGTCCAAAGGGATGGTGTGTGGCAACGCCACCCTGTCCGTGCTGCTGTAGGACAGGGTGAGGACAGTGTGGGGAAAACACTGAGCTTGGGGGCTGCTCGTGCTCCATGGTGACCTCTCTCTCCACCCCGCCCCTTCCTCCGGTTCTCCCGGTGCGTGGTGGTGACCCTAGGGCCAGGGGGTGCTATCAGAGAAGCTCCGGAGCTTCAGCATGCAGGACCTGACCCTGATTCGGGATGATGATGCGCTGCCCCTGCAGGGGCCTGACAGCCGGCTCCGATCCAGCCCCGGCAGCCTCCTGGACACCATCGAGGACTTAGGTACAGGCAGGGCTCCAGGCTGGGAGGGCCAGAGGGATGGAGGCTAGGCGGGAGAGCCGCCAGACCTCTGCTTTCCTTTGCTCCCCCAAAGCAGGAGATGACCCTGCACTGAGTTTAAGGTCTAGCACGAACCAGGCAGATCCCCGAACAGAGACCTCTGAAGATGATATGGGAGACAAGGCCCCTAAGCGGGTCAAACCCGTCAAAAAAGTGCCCAAAGCTGAGGTGAGAGCTTGCGGACATGGGGCGGGGCTGTGAGCCTAGGATGAGCCCTCTGACATCCTCTCTCCCTCTACAGCCACTGGCTTCCAAGACACTGAAGACCCGGCCCAAGAAGAAGACCTCTGGCGGGGGTGACTTGGCTTGAGGTCCTGACGCCCCACAGGCTGCAGAGCCCCTGCTCCACACTGTGCCAGTAGCCCATGTGTCTCAGGCCCCAGGTCCCCTCCGATGGCTGCCTGCCCAGTGACCACTCCTCTGGAGGGGCTTGGAAAAGAGGAGGGAAGCCCTGCTGTGGGGGTGGAGGGTAGCGGCTGGAGGAGTTGCTGAGGACTGAGCCACCCAAGGAGGTGGGGGCTCCATAGAGCCAAATTGCTATTCTCCCTGCTCCAGTCCTGTCCCCACCCACCCAGTGCCTTGCTGAAGACCATGGCCATTCCCTTTTCTGAGGTCCTAACATGCCCCCACTGCTCTCTCTGGGGTGGGGGTGGGGGGGTACTCACAGCCCAGAATGACCAGAGATGGGCCCGAAGGCACCTGGGAGACCAGGAAGGAGTGGAGAAGGCTTCAGAGAACCTGGGCAAGAGCTCAGGCCTTAATGTGTGTTTGAAGGACCAGGATGGCCAGGCCAGAGCTGCAGTTGGGGGTACTGGGTAGGGCTGTGTGCTATATGTCTCCACTAAAAAGAAGTGGGGTTCTGGGGGTGTGCGTGTGAGTGTGTGTGGGTGTGTGTGTATTTCTGGGTCTAGGGCTGGGGGGGGTTTGGGTAAAGGACTTTCCTGCCAGCAGCTACCACCCCCCACCGCAAGCCCCTCCCTGCTGTCGGCCTTCTTTCCTACTCTCAGACTGCCCTGAGAGGATGGGATTCTGAGGGCCACTTACCTCCTCCTCCGCCCTTGATAGCCTTTCACCTCCTCCCCTTCCTGCCCTGCCCCTGTGCTGGGCTCCTCTGCCTCAGCGCCCACTGTAGAGGCCCCTGCTGAGCCAGCTCCTTTCCTCTTCACCTGGGGGCTCATCTTCCTTTCCCTCAGAGCCCTCTTCCTGTGCCAAGCAAACTGGGCCCCACGTGAGCAGACTCTTAGGAGCCCAGCCTTTGCCCCCACACTTTACCCCTGCTTCTGCCGTGGCTTCAGTCAGGGCCAGGAGAAGTGTGTGAAGAAAAAAAAATTTAGGAGCCAAAAGGCTTCCAATTCTGTGGAAAGAGGGTGCCCATTGGACCTTTGGCCCTGGATGAGCCAATAAACCGAATTCTGGCACCTCATGCGTTTCAGCTTCTGTGCTTTGTTCTCACCCGTCCCATCCACAGGTGAGAAGGACCTCAAGTGAAAAGCAGAGCCCAGCTTTGGGGGGGCGGGGGAAGAGGTTGGACTGTGGACCCCAGGAGTTCCATTCTCCAAGATACGAGATGGGCTTCAGCTGGTGCCATCTGGGGAGATGGTTTGGAGGCTCAAGGTACAGCCAGGGGAGGGGTGCCTTGGTGGTTCAGTCAGTTAAGCGTTTGACTCCTGCCCTAATCTCAGGATCCTGGGATCAAGCCATGCTCAGTGGGGAGTCTGCTTCAGGATTTTTTTCTCTCTCTCCTCTGCTCCTCCCCCCTGCTTGGGGCCGTGTTCTCTCTCTCTCTCTCAAATAAATAAATCTTAAAAAAAAAAAAAAAATACAGCCAGGACAGTAGGAGGGATCAGGACTTGAGGGCTGGGTGCCCCAACCCTCAAGGTTGTCTTGTCCCTCAGAATCCTGCCCAGAGCCCTCCTGCCCCAGTGGACCTTCTGGTACCTCATAGAAAGTGCCAGTGTAAGCTCTAAGGACAAAGACCTTCATAAGGCTCCCAGGGAAGGAGGGAGAGGATTTGGGGGCTATTGGGCAGGGCGGGGGGATTAGATGGCCACAGGGCCCAGAAAGGCTAAAGAATGTTGGAGAGGGGAGCTGTGAGCCAGAGACTCTGAAAGGAAGAGACAGGTAGGCTGAGGGAAGACGGGGTAATGGGGAACCAGCCTTATGGTGTATGTCTGACCCTGGGGACAGAAGGAGGACAGGGGACCAAAGACTGGGGCCAGAGAGGCCGTCCCTGAGGCACCTGGAGGGAAGCCTTGAGCCCTGGGCTACTGGGCTGGGCTGGAGGAGAAAGGGAGGGAGGGTGAGCATATGGTGTCTGAGTCCTTGGGAGCTAGAGCCAAGGCCACCAGGGGCCAAGGGGCACAATCAGCTGGGAGTGAGACCTGCAAGGCGGTGCCCAGGGGAAGGGAAAGGATGGCACAGGAGCAGAGGCAGCATGGGAGGAGAAAAACAAAGGAAAAGAGTGAAGAGGGACGGGGTAGAGAGAGCAAGGCAAGGAGGAGGAAGGGAGAAGGGAGTGGAGAAACAGCTGCGTGCACAGCCTTGTGGAAGGAAAATGGAGGCAGAGCACAGGGTGGGGCACAGCGTGTGTGGCGGCTTGGCCCCAGGTCTGCAGAAAGTCTATTGACTTTCCTGTCCCTTCCCCAGCATCACAGAGGTATGTCCTCCTGCCACACTTGCGCTCAACTGGCCAAGAACCTCCCAAACTGATGTCGCGGTGGAAGTGAGGCGAGAACAGTCCTTTTCATCTTCCCTAGAGTCCTCCGGTCAACAGACCTTGGAAGGTTATTCCTTTCACCACAAGCCTCTGGGCAAATTGGCCCCTTTCTGTCTCTGAAAGGAGATGATATGTCAGGGTAGAATTCAGGGGAGAGACTTGCTTGTTCTAGAAAGATCTCCAGAGAGTAAGATGCTGCAGTCTCAAGCTAGCAGCTACCATATGGTCAAGAAACCAGGTTAGGCCCTCTCTAACCTAAATCCCATTTGCTACATAACATGCACACGCACACACACACACACACACACACACCCCTGTAGTGACCGGTGGCTAAGGAGGTCACTGCCAGTTTCTCCATGCCAGGATCTCTGTGCACATCTGGGTTTCTCTGTGTCAACAGGAACATGCTCAGATTTCCAAGCTCCTTAGTCTGTTGCCATGGGAACATTCAGTCAGTCTCCTAGAACTCGGCACTGGGCCTGGCCCCTGTGGTGCAGGGGAGGAGAGAAGAGGTGGAGGGTGACAATGAGATGGAGGGAAAGGCTTCTGGGAGGGGCTGGTGGGACACATTTGGGTCAGGGTGACATCTTGCTATCTCATTCCTTGGGACCACCTGCCCTCTCCCGTCTGCCTCAGTAGACCTCTAGGCCCAAGCAGTGGGGAAGAGATGTCAGAACAGAGGCTAGAGCTCTGTGGAGGATTCTTGATCACTGCCTGGGTCACCAGGGGGCATTGAGGGATAGGTTTTGAGTGGGAGCTGAGGTCTGTTTAGCCCTGTGTCCCATGCTCAAACCATCTTGGGGACACTGGGCAGCGCTCCAGGCCTGAGGTCCCTGGATAGAATGTCCTCAGGGCTGGAGCTGCTTTAGCTGGCTCCCCCTCCCTTTCTTGTGTGTGTCCCACACCCTGAGAACCTGCTTAAAATGGGATTTCCAGGCTGTGACGTCAGAGGAAAGCCAGCAGCAGCTCCAGCCTGTGCCAGCTCTTCCTTGATCAGCAGAGCTGAGCCGATCCTTGCTCAGCCTGGAGGAAAGAGGGTTAGCAGAGGAGGGAGGGTTTCTGAGGGCTCTGGATCATGGTCCCCATATCAGTGCGATCCATGATAGTAGGGAGAGACAGTAATAGGGAGAGGCAGGCGAAAGCCACAGCTGGCTTCCTCACAGCCTTAAATTTCAGCCGGTTCGTGGTCATTTCCCTCCCCAGTTTATCTAGTTTTTCCCTCTCTGCACTGAGTCAGGCCTTCCTGGTGGAGGAGGGTACCTCAAGTATTAAAACCATTTGGGTTCTGCCTGAGAACTTGTCCCATTATCTAGGCGGGAGGCCAGGAGGGATCGGAGGGATACCTGCAAGGATGGAGAAGCCCACTAGGTGGCGCAGCTCACTCTCAGTGTGGGATTCCCCACCCCTGTAGGGGAGACTCTTCAGGCAATCAGTCTGCCTAAGGTCTGGTGAGCAGGGTGCCTCATGCCCCACTCCGTGGAGTTGGAGATTCATGAAGAAAACATCCTTACAGGTGCATGAAACAGCTATGGATTCTCAAGCCATCACTTCCCAAGCCCAGCCTGTGTGCCCACACCCAGTATTCTCACCAGGGGATGGTCAGACCCAAAGGTCAGGTACTCCCCTTGGGTGAGGATCAGGCACCCTCCTGGGATCAGGGGAGTTGCCAAGCTGACCCTGCAGCCTAAGGGACCCAACATGGGTTTCTGAAATGACATCTAGAGGGACTGCTGGAGCTAATTTCAAGGTCAGGTGAGGAGAGGGACCCAAGCTGTGGCAAAGGGTAGGGAACTTGGGAGGGCAGGTTAGGTCCAGAGGGAAGGAAGCACACTTGGCCACAGGATTCTCTGGATATGACTTCCCTGCTGGCCACAGTGGCAGTTCCAGGCCTGCCCCAGGTTTTCCTATTCCCTGCCGCTTCCCTTATTTTCATCTGGGGCACTGCAGGATTAAAAAAGGAGAGAAAAGACCCTAATTTCCAAACGCTGGGATCCCAAGGTACTTTTGCAAGAGCCAAGGCTGGGGCTCCTTGGTGACCTACCTTTCTCTGACCTCTTCCCCAAAATGACCCCACCAGCCCTGCATCCCTAATGAATTACCCTCTCCTTTTGTCCCAGCCATATGAGTGATCAATAAATAATGCTGCTTGAAATATTGATGGTGAGTTTTACACAAGCATCCCTCAGCTGTGCCTGTCATTGGGGAACTCGAGAGCTGACAGAGAACTGCATGGCCCCCCAGAGAGCTCTCTCCTCTCTCTGCCAACAGAGGGTCTATCTTTGCCAAGATTTCAACCTGTTCCCATCTCAGCCAGAATCATGACTCACTCCCATCAAGTAAGAAGAGGGAAGGTCCCCCAGAGACTCAGCCAGCAATCTCCAACCTGGCAAGAATCAGGTAAGCTAAACCAAGCAGAGACCCTTCTTGATACTTTTGTCTCAAGACAAAGAGATCCCATTTCCTATGTTCTACATCCGCCTTGGACCTGAGTGATGACTCAGAAGGAGACTTGCACGTTTCCTGTCCCCTAGGTTGACTGTTTAGAGCATGAGCAGCAAGGACTCCCAGGCTCCCAGGCTTCTCTGGCCCACATC